CCTATTGTCTTTACGTCTGGGGCGTTACCTATTGTCTTCACGTCGTGTGGGGCGCTACCTATTATCTTTACGTCGTGTGGGGCGTTACCTATTGTCTTTACGTCGTATGAGGCGTTACCTATTATCTTTACCTCGTGTGGGGCATTATCTATTGTCTTTACGTCGTGTCGGGCGTTACCTATTATCTTTACCTCGTGTGGAGCGTTACCTGTTATCTTTACGTCGTGTTGGGCGTTACCTATTGTCTTTACGTCGTGTCGGGCGTTACCTATTGTATTTACGTCGTGTGGGGCGTTACCTATTGTCTTTACGTCGTGTTTGACGTTACCTATTGTCTTTACGTCGTGTTTGACGTTACCTATTGTCTTTACGTCGTGTTTGAAGTTACCTATTGTCTTTACGTCGTGATGGGCGTTACCTATTGTCTTTACGTCGTGTCGGGCGTTACCTATTATCTTTACCTCGTGTGGAGCGTTACCTGTTATCTTTACGTCGTGCGGGGCGTTACCTATTGTCTTTACGTCGTGTTGGGCGTTACCTATTATCTTTACGTCGTGTGGGGCGTTACCTATTGTCTTTACGTCGTGTTGGGCGTTACCTATTATCTTTACGTCGTGTGGGGCGTTACCTATTGTCTTTACGTCGTGTGGGGCGTTACCTGTTATCTTTACGTCGTGTTTGAAATTACCTATTGTCTTTACGTCATGTGGGGCGTTACCTATTATCTTTACGTCGTGTTTGAAGTTACCTATTGCCTTTGCGTTGTGTTTGACGTTACCTATTGTCTTTACGTCATGTTGGGCGTTACCTATTATCTTTACGTCGTGTGGGGCATTACCTATTATCTTTACGTCGTGTGGGGCGTTACCTATTGTCTTTACGTCATGTTGGGCGTTACCTATTATCTTTACGTCGTGTTGGGCATTACCTATTATCTTTACGTCGTGTGGTTCGTTACCTTGTCTTTACGTCGTGTCGGGCATTACCTATGTTGGACGTTAGCTATTGTCTTTACGTCGTGTTTGACGTTACCTTTTGTCTTTACATCGTGTGGGGCATTACCTATTGTCTTTACGGTCATGTGAGGCGTTACCTTATGTCTTTACGTCATGTTGGGCGTTACCTATTATCTTTACGTCGTGTGGGGCATTACCTATTGTCTTTACGTCGTGTAGGGCGTTACTTATTGTCTTTACGTCGTGTGGGGCGTTACCTATTGTCTTTACGTCGTGTGGGGCGTTACCTATTGTCTTTACGTCGTGTGGGGCGTTACCTATTGTCTGTACGTCATTTGGGGCGTTATCCTTTGGTTGTGGTAACGTTGTGTTAATTTTTTCGGAATTTCGAAATTCCACATGTACTAGTCATTGTTCTAAACTTACCAGATATACGATATTTATTGAATTATAGCGCTGATGCAGTCTTTAACATATCACTAACCAGTCCTAGAAGGACGAAACAGCTGTATGATGTAGTTTACTTCATTGTTTGTCTATGTTGTATCTAACTATAAGTTTGTATTAACAAGTTATTTATTTCCGCGTGTTTTGTGTAATATTCCACTTCATACAGGCACACTACTTTACATCGGTAGTGTAACTGTTCGGAGGGAAATTTCAAGAAACTGTTCGGAGAGAAATTTAAAAAAAAAAGCTGTGCGGAGGGCAATTACAATACGGACGACGTACGTTTTTTATTTGCACATCTGTGTCTTGTGTATGTGATGGCACAGACTAAGATAGATATATTTCAATCCAGTGTCTATTCATGAATACAAAAACAAACAAAAGATAAATGTATGAATATTAAAAAAAAAAAGTTTTCGCAATCAATTTATTTACAAAGGAACACTTAACACGACCAGTTGATTGTGAAAAGCCGTGGCTTTAAAAGGTATGGTAATTGTGGAAGTGTTAACAAGATATTACGTCACAGTATATTCTAATATTTATGACATTGTTACAAGGATACACTTGATTGATTTTGAAAACACCGGAAGAGCACATTCCAAGCGATATAGACACGGAAACCTAGACAGTACAATGTATAATTGATTCCCGTTGTTGCCATCAATGTATTCTTATAACAATATTCTCTTGGTTTCCTACGTCCCGTATAAGAACACCACAAGCCACAAGCGCCATGTTTGTTGTCCTTTATTAAGCACTATCATAACTTGTTTGCTAATACTGTAATTTGTTGCATTTTTGATGAAAATTTTATTTACAAAACCATCAAACATTTTACGGTATACTGGTTTTGATCTGTGTAGAAACGGATTCTAGAAATGGATAAATTCTTAGAAAAAATATTTAGATAAATCAAAACGGATAATATTGTAGACTATATGGCAAGCTGTCATTTATTCATGGGTCAATACTAACACTGACCCGGTACTTTTTAATTTGGCTTGCACACACTCCTTGTAGTGGCTGTCAATAACGGGGAGTGGACAGCTAGAACTTAGGCGGGACACAAGACAAGGTTGAAACTACATCCATGTATCACAGCATTCTGATTAAGTCCATAAACAGACAGGAACTAGATTTTATTTCACTATCTACTGATGTGCACATCTAATGTATATACTAAAGACATAGAACACATTTACGTTAGAATTGTGGTTACATACATGTATTTCATAACATTTGTATGCAATAGTCTGTATTCATTTGAACGACAGAATTCAAAGTTTTCATCACTGAATTGTAAATTAATATTACACGCATGTAAGTACATGTATACTATGAAACATGATGGTTCATTTTTTCTTTCTTTCTCAAGATTCCCTGGGTAACGTCCATCCATGGGCCAAACTCGGGGACTGGTTGTCAACCAGCCAAAAGGTTATGGTCATACTCGGGGACTGATTGTCCACCAGCTAAAAGGCAATGGTCATACTCGTGGACTGATGGTCCACAAGCTAAAAGGTAACGGTCATACTCCGGGACTGACCAGCCAAAAGGTTACGGTCATACTCGGGGACTGATTGTCCACAAGCTAAAAGGTAACGCTCATACTCGGGGACTGATTGTCCACCAGTTAAAAGGTATTGGTCATACTCGGGAACTGATTGTCCACCATTTAAAAGGTAACGGTCATACTCGGGGACTGACCAGCCAAAAGGTAACGGTCATACTCCGGGACTGACCAGCCAAAAGGTAATGGTCATACTCGGGGACTGATTGTCCACAAGCTAAAAGGTAACGGTCATACTCGGGGACTGATTGTCCACAAGTTAAAAGGTAACGGTCATACTCGGGTACTGATTGTCCACAAGTTAAAAGGTAACGGTCATACTCGGGGACTGATTGTCCACAAGTTAAAAGGTAACGGTCATACTCGGGGACTGACCAGCCAAAAGTTAACGGTCATACTCCGGAACTGACCAGCCAAAAGGTTACGGTTAACTCGGGGACTGACCAGCCAAAAGGTTACGGTCATACTCAGGGACTGACCAGCCGAAAGGTTACGGTCATACTCGGGGACTGACCAGCCATAAGGTAACGGTCATACTCGGGGACTGACCAGCCGAAAGGTTACGGTCATACTCGGGGACTGACCAGCCGAAAGGTTACGGTCATACTCGGGGACTGACCAGCCAAAAGGTAACGGTCATACTCGGGGACTGACCAGCCAAAAGGTTACGGTCATACTCGGGGACTGGTGATAATGATGTTTCCATGATGATGCTAACTTCATGATAATGATGTACTGGTGTCATCATGCTAATATATTATCGTCATGTTTATAATGGTTGTGATGACATATTGATGTTATCATGAAGATGATGTTGAAATAATGTTAATGATAATAAATGTGGTGTATACTTTTAAAGGATGATGATGATGATGATGATGATGATGATGATGATGATGATGATGATGATGATGATGATGATGGCTCGGAATTAGCATGCAGATAAGATGAATGACAATGTACTTGCGAATGCAAATGATAACAATCACAAACGAAAACCTGTACAAGTGCGAATGTGTCTATGTATCATAATGTCTCAGTCATATGTTATTGAAAAATAAAAATAAAAATAAAAAAAAAACCAGCTGTACTCGTTTGGTCGATGTTTGAATACTTTTGCATTCTAAACAAATATCTTCATTGCATAGTTGTGTGGCTGAAAAGCTATCAAGAATGTAAATAAGAAGTAGATTGATAAATTAAAATTAAAGACGTCAACAGAATCTTCATTCAAATTAAAAATCGATGTAAAATAGAAATATTTACAAGGCTACCATTAGAAGAGAAGATTGACTACTCATAATACACTAATTTCAATCTCAGTCTAAACCCAGTTGCTAACGTTTACTATGATTTGGCGACAATTCATAAGACACTGGGCCGGTGATTATAGAACCTACTTGTGACAAAAGCTCTTTGATTTAAGCCTACAGTAAAGATCCAAGATTATTGCCTCCGGTTCCTTGTAGTGCATGCAAAGTAAACTGAGTTTACATGCCCACATGGCGTTTAACCTTTCTTCGCCGCATAGATCAATCAAATATAACCGTGACGTTTTTCTGTACAAGTCTACAACTTGTTGATGCCGGTTGTCGCCCTTTACTGTTAATAGTGCAAAGCTTCTGTTTGCAGTGAATTGTACAGATAAGACATCTTTATCCCATTATGTACAAGTAATGCAGAGATTTTAGACTATCTAACAATGATAATTGAATCCATATTGGGCTATTAATGTTAACCATCGTTAAGAAGAAGGCAGGCTATTTAATCAACGACTTGAGACTGCCAGTTTGTTTGTGTCATCCCAGACTGCATTTAGTATATCTAACTGTGATAGTCTCCAACGTATTTAGTTTAATCTATATTTTGTTTACTATTTCTCTAATGATTCAAACAACATAATCTCAAAATAGACATTTTGTTTGAATTTTATTGGCAATATATTATATCAAAGAATATTGTATTATTATGAAAAAAGAGAGAAAAATATAGCATATAGACTATCGTAAGGTAGATCAATATGGAGGAAATATTATAAGATGGTCCAGCACTTTTGACTTCCTGCTTCTCAGCCAAAGTATCAGCGATACGTTCCCAACTGGTAAGTCATTCATGTTGCTATTATTATCGTAGTTCTCAATTAAGTACTCTTCCGATTTTTTTTTATTTCTATGTATCTGACATATCTACGGTGTTTGTAGATCAACTAGTTCTAGTTCCAGGCCTAAACCAGCTGTAAAATAAACTCCATGATGATCAGTTCAGGTTGAATAATGACTTTCATGACGTTCCAAATGAACTGAGACGGTGCATTATTTTTTCATTTGGAAAGATAATGCTCTTCCTTCTTCGTGGCAGAACCAGCTAACTTGAAGGAGAGAGCTGACATTTCTTGACCTCCGCCCCCTTGGTCAGCCTCTGAACCCAACCAGGGGGTTTTGATAACAAGAGCATTCCATCTAAATGAATACTGATAATGATGTACACTACCCCCGTTCTTCCTCCGATTTTTACTACAGTGCAAAGAGCTACATGTAACAAATTCTACGGTTTATTTTCACTGATGAACCTAATAGAAGCTACATATTTTAATTCTAAAGTGAAAAATCAATGTTTTTTTCACTTCTTGTTTTGATACAGGATCAGAAAATGTATTTCACATACTATTCTTAATTTTTCATGAATAACAGAAATTCCTAATTGTTTTCGCGACTATCTTTTGAAAATAATCATTGAACACTCTTATGAATACTTCAGAGGAATCACTAATGCGTATACCACTAGCAGAACTTACTACCAAAGCAACAAATTTAATACCACAGTATAAATCCAGAAGACTCAATCTCAACAGGCTGGAGACGGCTTATGGTCCTGGTGAATCCCTACTAATAGGACGAAACTGGTAGACATCATAACTTATACAATAAATTTCAAAATTTTGCCTCCAGCCTTGTGAGGTTGATTCTTCTTGATATCATATAAGCTCACCTTTTGGTATCTTGAAGTAACAACAGCATTGGCTGATCTCCAGATATATTAAATACACAATTATAACAAAAATACCTTGTTTTTCATCATTTTTATTTGATCTTCAAGCTTGTAATAAAATTTTGTCAAAAAAGGATGTCATCCTTGTTAATAAGTTGGATCCTAGTACACACACAGTGTATAGTCATTACTATTATTGAAGTTCATCAACCAAAAGAAGGGAAAGATCAGCAAGCTTCAAAAAAGTAAAAATAAAGTACACTTCAAAAAGGTTTCAATTAATGATTTTTTTTGTAGGGTGATAACCAGACATGGAGTTTGCTGAGTTCATTAAGAAACCTATGGTAAACAATGTGGTATTGTGGAAGCCATTCCGTAAATCTGTAGAAGGGACTCTCTGTATCACAGGACACCACCTCATTCTGTCATCAAGGAAGGACAACAAAGAGGAATTATGGGTATTTATTTTGTTCATTTTAGTTAGACATGGAATCTTTCAGATTTTAGTTAATGTGATGTTTTTTGAGGCTCTGCATTATGATAAGTATTACCCGTAGCTTTTAAAATGATGTGCACTTATTTTGGACTTCCAGCACCTCTTAACTTCAACCCATATACATATGTTATGAGTCTGGTGTGAATTTATGTCAGAATTACGATAGTATAGCTGAAGGTTAGATATTTCATGTAGCTTAAGAAATGTAAGAGAATTTCACTTATACTAACAGTTGAAAAAGAAAAAACAAAAATTATGTACATTATTTATTTATTAAGCAACTTAAACAGGTGTATAAAACTTTGGGCCATTTAGACATGTCAGATAGTTCACTTGTGGGGTTTTAAGGCAAAAAAAGTCCATATCTTATATCAAATTCTGCTTAATATCACATTTTCCTCTGGCTGATGGCAAATGGTCAACAGGTTTCACCATATAATTTCTAATCTCTCATTTTCAGTAAATTTTTGTGTATATCCAGTCATGTTTGTACATATTAGTACGTAGCACTGGCTAGATATGATAAACCTCTCAGGGCTAATTAAACTATGGTGTGTGGGATAGAGGAAATGTCCCTAAAATTATTGACGCAAGAACAGTAAATCTCTAAAACAGTCTACAGTATGGTGGCTGACATTTCTGCTAATTCTACACCATCCTGTTCCGTATGTTTCATTTATGTCCTTTGATGTTCCATTTTTATGATAAGGTATACAGAAATATACGTATACAAGAAAGTTTGTTTTCCGTTTAATTTACATACTTGTACATCTTCTGCGAATCTTTCATTCAGATATACTTATGTGTTATATTTAAATTTTATTTATTTTTGGGTACTTTTGTATAGTTGTACCTTTTATATACACTTTGTAGTTGGTAAAAGCTTTCGTTTTCCATGTACTATACATTGTTGAAGCTACTTTGATATTCTATGAAGATTTCCTTTCAGTTTCTATGTTTCATAGCTTCTTCTTTTATGTATTTCTAATTCTATGATTTACTTTCATTTTCCATTTATTTTGTAGCTATATAATATCAAATTCTACATATGATATATTCTCACATTGACTTTTATTTTCCATACATACATTGTAGCTGCTACACAACAATGTTGACAGTATTGAAAAAAAGTTGTCTCAGCCAGGTGGAATCCTCTCGCTGAAGTGTAAAGATTTCACTCTTGTTGCCCTGGAGTTTCAGTCAGCAGAGGACTGTCTGAATGTCGGAGCATCGGTAGAACAGCTGTCCAATATTGGTAAGAACTTTAAGATACCTCCTGGTAATTTTTTTTCCCCACTTTCTGTTGCTTTCAACAATTTTGAAGAAAAAATGTTGTAACTCTTGTATTTACAAAATTCTGTATGAGACATTGTGTGCGATCAAAATGTCATGCCTTAGGAAAATGTGTTTACAGACAACATGTTTTAAGATATTCTGGTGGACTAATTTATTTTTTTAGAATTAAGAACAATTTTGAAAATTTACTTATACTTCTGATATGTTTGAAATTGTGGCCAGATTTCTACTGCTTTCTAAGTAAGAAGGTTTCAATTTTGGCGAACCTGACTCAGTATGAAAATCAGAAATATATACAGAAATATCTAAAACATTCTCAAGGAAAAAGTCAAATAAAAAAAATGTTACGGATACTGAATTTAGTTTTTGCCCCATGTTTAAAAACCAATGTTTGAGAGTGGAGATTTTGCAAATTGATAATGATTTAGACCAGTGTTGTATGATACTGGTAAGTTGACTTGAATTCAAGAACGCTTCACAATAAAATCTTACTAGAGTTGTTTGATGGCAGATCAAAGCTGGCTGAAGTAAGTTGTATGAAATTGTTATCTTTTGTTACAGATGACTTGACTTTGAGCTACCCATTTTTCTATCGTGCCATGTTTGAGCCACTGGAAGATGGATGGCAGGCATTTCTCCCAGAGAATGAGTACACTCGTTGTAAGGAATGCTCAGAGGATTGGAGGCTTAGTTACGTCAACAAGGATTATTCGGTAGGTAGGGATTGACACCATAACCATTAGGATTCAATGAGTCTGCCAAATTTGATTATTGAAAAAAGTTTTTAAAAGCTTTGTCCATTGAAGGTATATTTGTAGGTTAGTGATGCTGTTCATTTGTCATGATTTAAAGCATTTTCAAGGAGACAAGTTAGAACTTTTCCTCAAAATTGAGACAGTAATTTAGCAAAAGTCAGTCTGGTCACTTTCACTTGGAACAAAGTTGCTGGATCATTAATGAACACTAACGTAGTTTTCAAAGAGTGAAATAGGAATATTACATTTCTGGGCTTGTTTTGAGGTTCTTTTTGTGGCTGATAACTAATGGGGCCCCATTTCCAATAAAAAATTATTTCATACTTAAGTCAAAATTTGCAATATACGCATTGAAATTTTCTTTCCAATTTACCAATTTTCTTTCCAAAATTAGTGAAAAATGGCCCATCTTCAACCAGTGTAAAATAAAGCATTGGTTAGTACACTGCATATATACACTGTTCTGATTTCTCCAGTAATTAATGATGCCTGTTGACACTTGAGTTTTCTGTGTTAGATCCTTGTTGGTAATTCTAACTACTTATAGATAGAACCGAAACAGGGTCAGTTATTGATATATGAGGGTCAGGTATTAATTTTCGGACAAATTTTTATTACAGAAATTTCAAAGAAAATGTATTTCAGAAGAATTTCCTTTCATTTACAAACAAATTGTTGTCCATAGAAAGTATTTTGAAAATATTTACATCCTGGACATACCAAAGACTGACACAATAGGATTTGTTAGTCCCAGTAAAACCAGGGGTGACCATAATGTCTGTCGTGGTCCCTCTGTCTGTTTGTGTGGACTACATGGTTTCCAGATGATAATTTTAGTAAGGGATGACCGATTAGGTTGAAACTTGACACAAGGTAAATTTAGTAGGAGAGCTAATGTGAAATTGCGTTTGTGGTCAAAAGAGCAACTGCACAGGTCACTGTTGCTAAAAATAGTTTTTTCATTTCCAGATGATAACTTGAGTTATGGATGACTGTTTAGATTGAATCTTGATACAATGTCAGTTTAGTGTAGGAGACCTGTGTGGGATTGTGTTTTGGGTCAAAAGTTCAACTACAAAGGTCACTGTTGTTAAAAATAGATTTTTTTTTTTGATAGTGATTTTGCTTCAAAAATGCTAAATTATGACACGGCAGGGGATGTGTGTTGTTTGCAACTTTAAATGTAAGCTTGTGTTGGTTTTCTTAGTTTTCACTACATACTATTATTTCATCTGTTTTACAGGTATGTCCATCATATTCACATGCAGTTATTGTTCCCAAGACAGTTGATGATGAAACTCTTGTGAAAGCGGCACAATTTCGTCAACATGGCCGATTTCCGGTTCTGAGCTATTACAGTAAACAAACAAAGGTAAACATTACAGGCATTTTGTTAATTCCATATTTCATTGTTTAAATTAGGATTTTCTCCTTGATCATCGTCATTGAAATTGTTGGCTTGAACGCAATGCTCCATGGTTCATTAAAGTAAAATAGAGTTTGTAGGGAGATTACTCTCTTCGTCTTCTACAGGCAGTGATGATGCGGAGTAGTCAGCCCTTGACAGGCCAGAGCAATAAGCGTTGTCGGGAAGATGAAAAACTTGTCAACTCTGTCCTCGGCATCGGCAAGCGTGGTTACATAGTGGATACACGATCTTCTAGTGCAGCAAAGTCAGCCCAAAGCAAAGGTTTGTACAATTGCAGTATAATTTCATGTTCAACTTTTTTTTCCGTTGGTCTCAAATTTCTTATATTATGGCAGGTTTCCCTAAGTCTTTAATTGTCCTTGTAATTTTGAGACAGAATGAAAAGAAAAACTGATTTCCTCCAAGTCATTCGGTATTTTACATAGGAAGGTTATCATAAGAGAGCACTGAATTGATCATTTTTCTAAAATTTCCTTCGAGTGATAGATGTTATACAGCTTGATTCTAATTCTTGAAATAGTTGTTTACACTCTATTAGAGGAAAGCAGTGAAAAAGGAGAAAAATTTAAACTTATAACTAACATAGAATTTATGAAGATCATGACTTGCTGGGAGCCATGATCCCTTTAGGATATTGTATATTTTCAAATTTTTCTAAATATTTTTTTTTGTGTACTCTTTCTCCATTTATATATGATTGAAAATGAAAATTTACAAAACACAGTTTGAAATAATCTTTAAACTTTCATGTTCCAATTTGACTTTGAACAACATCTACATGTAAACTTTGAAAGGAATGTCTAAACGACGTCCTATTTGATGATGTAGGTGGTGGTTATGAGCCAGAAGCACACTACTCTCAATGGAGAAGAATTAACCAGCCCATAGAACGTCGACAACATTTCCATGAGTCTCTGATCAAACTAATGGAAGGTAAGTACACACAACACTTCCACGAGTCTCTGATCAAACTAATGGTAGATAAGTACACACAACACTTCCACGAGTCTCTGATCAAACTAATGGTAGGTAAGTACACACAACACTTCCACGAGTCTCTGATCAAACAAATGGTAGATAAGTACACACAACACTTCCACGAGTCTCTGATCAAACTAATGGTAGATAAGTACACACAACACTTCCACGAGTCTCTGATCAAACTAATGGTAGATAAGTACACACAACACTTCCACGAGTCTCTGATCAAACTAATGGTAGATAAGTACACACAACACTTCCACGAGTCTCTGATCAAACTAATGGTAGATAAGTACAACACAACACTTCCACGAGTCTCTGATCAAACTAATGGTAGATACAACACTTCCAAACGTACAACACAACAGTCTCTGATCAAACTAATGGTAGATAAGTACACACAACACTTCCACGAGTCTCTGATCAAACTAATGATAGATAAGTACAACACAACACTTCCACGAGTCTCTGATCAAACTAATGGTAGGTAAGTACACACAACACTTCCACGAGTCTCTGATCAAACTAATGGTAGATAAGTACAACACAACACTTCCACGAGTACAACACAACACTTCTCTGATCAAACTAATGGTAGATAAGTACACACAACACTTCCACGAGTCTCTGATCAAACTAATGGTAGATAAGTACACACAACACTTCCACGAGTCTCTGATCAAAGTAATGGTCGATAAGTACAACACAACACTTCCACGAGTCTCTGATCAAACTAATGGTAGATAAGTACACACAACACTTCCACGAGTCTCTGATCAAACTAGTACACACAACACTTGGTCTCTGATCAAACTAATGGTAGTAACACACAACACTTCCACGAGTCTCTGATCAAACTAATGGTAGATAAGTACACACAACACTTCCACGAGTCTCTGATCAAACTAATGGTAGATAAGTACACACAACACTTCCACGAGTCTCTGATCAAACTAATGGTAGGTAAGTACACACAACACTTCCACGAGTCTCTGATCAAACTAATGGTAGATAAGTACACACAACACTTCCACGAGTCTCTGATCAAACTAATGGTAGATAAGTACACACAACACTTCCACGAGTCTCTGATCAAACTAATGGTAGATAAGTACACACAACACTTCCACGAGTCTCTGATCAAACTAATGGTAGATAAGTACACACAACACTTCCACGAGTCTCTCAAACTGAGTCTCTGATCAAACTAATGGTAGATAATACACACAACAAAGTCTCTGATCAAACTAATGGTAGATAAGTACACACAACACTTCCACGAGTCTCTGATCAAACTAATGGTAGATAAGTACACACAACACTTCCACGAGTCTCTGATCAAACTAATGGTAGATAAGTACACACAACACTTCCATGAGTCTCTGATCAAACTAATGGTAGATAAGTACACACAACACTTCCATGAGTCTCTGATCAAACTAATGGTAGATAAGTACACACAACACTTCCACGAGTCTCTGATCAAACTAATGGTAGATAAGTACACACAACACTTCCACGAGTCTCTGATCAAAGTAATGGTAGATAAGTACAACACAACACTTCCACGAGTCTCTGATCAAAGTAATGGTAGATAAGTACAACACAACACTTCCACGAGTCTCTGATCAAACTAATGGTAGATAAGTACACACAACACTTCCACGAGTCTCTGATCAAACTAATGGTAGATAAGTACACACAACACTTCCACGAGTCTCTGATCAAACTAATGGTAGATAAGTACACACAACACTTCCACGAGTCTCTGATCAAAGTAATGGTAGATAAGTACACACAACACTTTCACGAGTCTCTGATCAAACTAATGGTAGATAAGTACACACAACACTTCCACGAGTCTCTGATCAAACTAATGATAGATAAGTACAAACAACACTTCCACGAGTCTCTGATCAAACTAATGATAGATAAGTACAACACAACACTTCCACGAGTCTCTGATCAAGCTAATGGTAGGTAAGTACAACACAACAGTTTCATCGTAATGGGTCCCTGGTTTTCAAACTGATGTCAAGTCTAGCTGTAGATAGATGAACGATATAATGTGCTGCTTGAATACCTTGCTTCAGGCTCATCCAACCCAGACGCCATGTAGATATTAAGTTTTTATCCAGTTAATATCAATAGTATGTTGAATACATCTACCTTATGTGTAAGTAGTATATAACATCAGAAAATGCTGAAACGGTTTATTATATATTTGTAACATGTTTCAGACCAAACTGTTTTCAATTAAAACTCAGCAAAACTGATGTAATATTACCTGGCTCCTGTAGGAAAGCCATACATTTGCAGCTGTATTGTATCAATATCACAGTGACGTATGTGTGTAATTTTACATATATTTTGTTTATATTTTAACTGCTTTTCTTTTTATACAATCACGGATTACTCTCTCTGTGGTTGTGAAGATCATATGTCTTGAAAAGTAACACATCAACATATCAACGTATATATAAGTTCTTTCAGAAATTGATGCAGTTTCTTGTTAAACGTTTCTTGTAATTATTCCAGCCTGCAATGACAATGGTGCGAGTATGGACAAGTGGCTATCTAAACTGGAGTCTAGCAACTGGCTCACCAACATCAAAGACATCCTTACCTGTGCTTGTACTGTAGCTCAGTGTATGGATTCTGAGGGTACGTAATCCCACATAGACCGTTAAAGCACCTGTGAATAGATTTGTACACCCATAATATGCCAGGAATTAAGATTACTTTCGTCATGATTTTGGGTAATGTCCACTCACTTACGACCTTTAATTTTCTAGAAAATTGTGTACACATGGGTTGTAATAGTAGCAAAATAACCCATTTATTATCTGTTGTAATGTTTTGGTCTAGGTTCTGTACCCAATACCAATGGAATTTGGCTGTTGATAGTCATCCTCTATAAAAGTGTTTGTTTTGCATTTAATGGATTATAACTCACATTTAAAGTTACAACTATATATGTTTTCATCGTGTTTAGCCTTTCAGTAATTGCATTAATTAGATTTATTATTATTTGTAGGAGCGTCTGTGCTGGTCCATGGATCAGCAATACTAGATGCTACACTACAAGTTATCTCCTTTGTACAATAATTTATTATTATTTGTAGGAGCTTCTGTGCTGGTCCATGGATCAGAAGGACTAGATACTACACTTCAAGTTACCTCCCTTGTCCAATTGATCCTTGATCATGACTGTCGCACCATTAATGGGTAAGAATATTTTCTAGTGGTCATATGGACTGGAATTTCACATTTATGTAGATGGTCAAAAGATTTGAAAAAAATACAATGTTCCTTTATCAAATTATCAAGTCAACGTGTCATTTCTTGTCATTTTTTAATTGAACACCCCCTGTTTATTTTGAAGAGAATTTGGAGACTTGTCACTTAAACAATGGCTGTGATTTAAACTCATCTACCACATCTATCTGGAAATAAGTGATGGGACAGTGATTAGATATAATTTATTATCTACTCATTTAACCTCAGCTGATGCAATATATTTCATAATCAGTTATCATTGCCTTGAAAATCAAATTTATACTATGTATTGTAAAGAGGCCAATTGACGATACATGTACTATATATTCTTGTTACAAAAGAAGAAAGTGTTACTGCAATAGGGAATACATTCACTTTCTATGAATACTGAACATACAGTCAGCCAATTATTTTAATGATTAACTACATCAAAAAGTCTGTCCAATTTTAACTTATAATTGATAATAGATTTTAACTAATTTCTCATCACCTAAGTCTACATATGTTTATTGCAGTTTAGAAGACTTCCAATCAAATGTTTTCATTGACCTCCATATATAATACATTAATCTATTTTCAGGTTTGAGGCATTAGTGGAGCGAGAATGGCTTCAAGCTGGTCACCCTTTCGGTGATCGATGTGCTAAGTCTGCATACGCCACAACTAAGACTCGCCAGGAGTCGCCAGCATTCTTACTGTTCCTAGACTGTGTCTGGCAGGTAACTCAGAAATGATGGTATTGGGAATTGAAATGTCAAACTATTTTCTTTGGTGAGGTCTGCCCTTGTGTTGACCTTGAATCACATTTGCTGTCATAGAGGTCAATTTTATTTATAAACGATAAGCCATTTTAAGTGGTTGTGATGGAGTGCCATTTTGACTTGTTGGTAAGGAGTGCCATTTTGATCTGTTGTTAAGTAGAGCCATTTTGACCTGTTGTTAAGTAGTGCCATTTTGACCTGTTGTTAAGGAGTGTCATTTTGACCTGTCGTTAAGTAGAGCCATTTTGACCTGTTGTTAAGGAGTGCCATTTTGACCTGTTGTTAAGGAGTGCCATTTTGACCTGTTGTTAATGAGTGCCATTTTGACCTGTTGTTAAGGAGTACCATTTTGACCTGTTGTTAAGTAGTGCCATTTTGACCTGTTGTTAAGGAGTGCCCTTTTGACCTGTTGTTAAGTAGAGCCATTTTGACCTGTTGTTAAGGAGTGCCATTTTGATCTGTTGTTAAAGGAGTGCCATTTTGACCTGTTGTTAAGTAGAGCCATTTTAGACCTGTTGTTAAGGAGTGCCATTTTGGCCTGTTGTTAAGGAGTGTCATTTTGACCTGTTGTTAAAGGAGTGCCATTTTGACCTGTTGTTAAAGGAGTGCCATTTTGACCTATTGTTAAGGAGTGCCATTTTGACCTGTTGTTAAAGGATTGCAATTTTGACCTGTTGTTAAAGGAGTGCCATTTTGACCTGTTGTTAAAGGAGTGCCATTTTGACCTGTTGTTAAGGAGTGCCATTTTGACCTGTTGTTAAAGGAGTGCCATTTTGATCTGTTATTTAAGAAAGTTTTGCTTTTTTCAGATCTGGCAACAGTTTCCTTGTTCCTTTGAATTTACTGAAGATTTTCTCATCTTGCTTCTACAACATGCTTATTCCTCGCAGTTTGGTGAGTTTTTTTAATAAAGATTAAACACATGAAAACCTTTTCCACATAATTTGTAGAATTACTACAACCTGTATATACTTTGCAGTTTGATGAGATTTCTCTTATAAAGCTGTGGCACTTATCTTACAGGTAAAATAGCATTGAAAATTGATGTAAAAACTTGTCTTTTAGATTTTGTGATTTTTGGAATTTTTTTTTTCATCTGTGTTTTGTATATTTATTGGAAACAACTGATAGATACCCTGTTGTGTGAAAGCAGTATCAGATATTGAATAAAAATTTCAACAGTCATAAAGGATCACTTGTCATCAGAGGTCATTTTTCTGTCCCTTCCAACGAATTCTGTCCTCTTTGACCACTTCCATTTCTTCTCCAAGACAACATGTCCTAAATGGTCACTTTCATTTCCTCTCTGATGAAACCTGTCTTCAGTGGTCACTTTCATTTCCTCTCTGATGAAACCTGTCTTCAGTGGTCACTTTCATTTCCTCTCTGATGAAGCCTGTCTTCAGTGGTCACTTTCATTTCCTCTCTGATGAAGCCTGTCTTCAGTGGTCACTTTCATTTCCTCTCTGATGAAGCCTGTCTTCAGTGGTCACTTTCATTTCCTCTGTGATGAAACCTGTCTTCAGTGGTCACTTTCATTGTCCCTCTGATGAAACCTGTCTTCAGTGGTCATTTTCATTTCCCCTGTGGTGAAACCTGTCTTCAGTGGTCACTTTCATTTCCTCTCTGATGAAACCTGTCTTCAGTGGTCACTTTCATTTCCCCTCTGATGAAACCTGTCTTCAGTGGTCACTTTTATTTCCTCTCTGATGAAACCTGTCTTCAGTGGTCACTTTCATTTCCCCTCTGATGAAACCTGTCTTCAGTGGTCACTTTCATTTCCTCTCTGATGAAACCTGTCTTCAGTGGTCACTTTCATTGTCCCTCTGATGAAACCTGTCTTCAGTGGTCACTTTCATTTCCCCTCTGATGAAACCTGTCTTCAGTGGTCACTTTCATTTCCTCTCTGATGAAACCTGTCTTCAGTGGTCACTTTCATTTCCCCTCTGATGAAACCTGTCTTCAGTGGTCACTTTCATTTCCCCTGTGGCGAAACCTGTTGTCAATCTCCTTGCTGTAATAAAGTGTCTATAATTTAGACTCTAATTGATGTTTTATCTACTGGAAATAGCAGAATTGAAAGTTTAAAGTATTTACAATTTATGTTTTCTACATTCTAGGTACATTCCTGTGCAATAATGAAAGGGAAAGAAAGCATTATCGCTTATCAAAGAAAACTGTTTCTCTGTGGTAAGTTTGTAATTAATTCTTTATTAAAAAATTACCTGTGAAGCAAACAAAAACAGATTGGTAGCAATAAAGGTTTACTTAATTCAAATATACATTTGTATTTGTATCAAGTATTGTTTAAACACTTAATAAAAGAAATCTTAAACTGAATCAGCCAGAATTCAATAATAGTCTTGGTCAGAGACACAGAGGAACTGTGAGAACTTGATCTTTTCTCTCTGCTTTTTTTATCCTTTACATAAGATATTTTATTTATTTCACTATAAACATATTATTTAGGGCTTCAATATCATTGCTTTTCTATTGTACACTATTCCTGTGGGAATTATGATGGAGTCTGCTAAAAATTACATGTATGGTCATATAACTACCCTGTTATCAGTATAATAACGCTCATTATCACATATCTACTCATCACCATGTTATAAACCCTTTACATATATTTAGGTACATGCAATTTGATCGTAAGCTGTACTGTAGATAGATTATACAAGCTATCCAGTCTCCTGAATCAGTAGTAACCTTGTTTTACAGGACCTATTTAGCTCGACCAGAAGTATTGGGTAGTTTCCTCAATCCCATGTATGATCCAAATCCACGAGTCATCTGGCCGTCTGTTGCCCCACAAAGTTTGGTAAGTACTATAGCTCAATTTTAACAGATCTAGAGGGCCTAATAGAGGGTATGGCCTCTCAGGGGAGCACAAAAGAGGGTGTGGCCTCTCAGAGGACAGGCTAGAGGGTCCTGTCTCCCAGGGGACCAGGCTAGAGGGTGTAGCCTCTCAGGGGACTACACTAGAGTGTATAGCCTCTCAGGAGACTACACTAGAGGGTGTGGCCTCTCAGAGGACAGGCTAGAGGATGTGGCCTCTCAGGGGAGCACACAAGAGGGTGTGGCCTCTCAGAGGACAGGCTAGAGGGTCCTGTCTCCCAGGGGACCAGGCTAGAGGGTGTAGCCTCTCAGGGGACTACACTAGAGGATATAGCCTCTCAGGAGACTACACTAGAGTGTGTGGCCTCTCAGAGGACAGGCTAGAGGATGTGGCCTCTCAGGGGAGCACACAAGAGGGTGTGGCTTCTCAGAGGACAGGCTAGAGGGTCCTGTCTCCCAGGGGACCAGGCTAGAGGGTGTAGCCTCTCAGGGGACTACACTAGAGGGTATAGCCTCTCAGGAGACTACACTAGAGTGTGTGGCCTCTCAGAGGACAGGCTAGAGGATGTGGCCTCTCAGGGGAGCACACAAGAGGGTGTGGCCTCTCAGAGGACAGGCTAGAGGGTCCTGTCTCCCAGGGGACCAGGCTAGAGGGTGTAGCCCCTCAGGGGACTACACTAGAGGGTGTAGCCTCACCGGGGACTACACTAGAGGGTGTGGCCTCTCAGAGGACAGGCTAAAGGATGTGGCCTCTCAGGGGACTACACTACAGGGTATAGCCTCTCAGGGGACTACACTAAAGGGTGTGGCCTCTCAGAGGACAGACTAGAGGATGTGGCCTCACAGGGGACTACACTAGAAGGTGTGGCCTCTCAGAGGACAGACTAGAAATTGGAATAAGCATTTCCTTCTTGGGTATGTATGGGAAGACTCCATAATGTGGACATGTTTTAACTATAAATAGAAGTATTTTGTTATTGTTGCTGTAATCAGGAACAACAATCCAGCCTCTTATCCTCTTGTTAAGGTTAAAATATTGAATGATGTTCACAAATGCAGTTTTCAAAATTTGATTTGTATTCTCACCAACATCTTCTTGGGTTTTTTCATATTTTTTTATGCATACATGGAGATAGCCATATTCAAAATTCATAGGAAATTGAATGCTGAATAATTAAATTTAAAATAAAACCATATATTTGCTGTGACTGAAAGTTAAATTTTTTAAATTTTAAATCAAAGATAACAGAGGATTCTTGAAAAAAATATTTTTTTCAAATGAAGGAAAATTATTAATGTTTTAATTTAAAAAATTTAATTTGGATATAGAATAACTAAAAAGTTAAAAAAGGAAAAAATACATTGACAATATTTACAAAGAATAAAGGAAAGACAGAAAAGAGGTTTTATTTAAAATATTTCATTTCAAGACAATTAAATGAAGAAATAAGGATTAGGGTTAGGAGTTCTATAATTTATTTATATGTCAGGCTGTTTTAGGAAATAATTGTAACGTAATTCAAGCTTTGATATAGTTTGTATCTTTATGATATTTTCTTGTCATTTTAGAGTTTATGGGCAGGACTATACCAGCGATCAATAATCAACCAATCAAGGCAGAAGGAGGCGTGGCAAGAAATCACAAAGATTAGGGAGTACGACAAAGAACTGAGGTCAAAGGTTACAAAACTTCGAAGGTAATATAGTGACACTGTACCATGTTTATTTTCCGAGTTTATTGTCCAATTTACATTTTGATTACGGTCTCCATGTAGCGACTGGTGGATGGCTTCCTGAACAATTTGAGAAACCAAACATGTAGAGAATCAAAAAGGGTGAAGTGGCTTACCCATGGATACAGCCATTTCAGCACACTTAAGAATCTTACACCCATAGTTGAGATCCTCCCTGTCTCAGCCCCAAAGGGATAAATCAATTTAAAGGGGAACTTGCCAAAAGGATTGGAGGCCTTTGTGATCACAGGTTCAGATTCAAGGTGCTTGGTTTGATGCTTTTTACTCATTGTATTGTGCAATTCTTAGGAAGTTGAGAAACCGATTGATCAGTAGGGTAGCCATGAGCTACTACATGGAGGCCCCGTCTCAAAATGTCCATGGCTGATGGTGGGGTGATAAATCCAGTAAACAGAAAATCTATTTTACTCAGTAGCATCTCTAGGCCATGTTTTATTTCTTAACTACCCTGGTATGTCAATGTAAAATTATGATACCAAGAGGTAAAAAATATGTTTTATTTTTCAGGCAATTGGCATCACTTGAGCGGGAGGCTGTGGGAGCGGGAGTGATCATGCCGGCTGGACTGGATGTAGACTGTACCATAGATTAGAGAGGTTGTGAAAGTAGCAAAACATGGACCAAAAATGTCAGCCGTAATAGCTAGAGAACTTCCAAGTAGCATTTATCAAATCACAAGAAATCTGTAGTTGTAGATGTCAAAAAATTGCCCATCTGAAAACCAGATTGACGGACTGAATTTGTTTACATTATTACAAAAGTTTCACAATATTTCTATTTGGTCACCATTTCAATTAGCATAGTAGTAATTTTAGTTTGCCTAACCCAATAGTTTTTTTATGAAAGACAAATTTGCTTCTTGTTTGTGTGTTTTTTTTTTAATTAGCTCAAAATCAAATTAAATTTGAGATCAAAAGTGGTTTTCTTTAGATATTCAATTATCTGTCATTCTTATTGTGAAACAAGAGACGCTTCATCCTTAATGTTAATTTAGCCTGTTATAAGGTTATGGATTTGTGATAAAGACAGTGATCCTATTGTCAGTTTTTATCACCATCCTGCTATTGAATCCACTTTCACTGGTAATATTGTTCAATTTTAGAATTACAAGAACAGTAGATTTTGTAAATGAGATATACAATTCTTCCTGTTCGGCGCTCTAACATCTAGTGTAAATGAATTTTTTTTAATCAATTTTGGTTTTTGCCCCTATTGGTTCCCCTTGGAGTTTTGTTGCCAAATATGGTTAAATTCTGCACAGTGGTTTTGAAAGAGAAACAGTTCCAAACAGCAAATGGCGATACATGGAACATGATGACAGTAGGTCATTCTAACCATTTAGGTCAAATGATGTAAAGACTACGAGATATTGGTGTATATGGTAATTATTAATTATGTTACATGGCTACAGTTACTAGTATTGATGACTTCAAACAGTAATTTAGAAATGAAGGACATCTTTTTACTCTCTAGATAGACATTGATAAACATCATTGGTTTTGAATTGTTAGTAGTCGCCTGTGTGTAATTGTGATAGCTCAGGTTAGTGACATGCTGTGTGTTTGATTACTTTAAAGCGTTACATTCCTAAGATCCATGCAATTTCACAACAAAAAATATTCGCACTTTAATCCATTCAACAGGACTGAGTAACGATATTAATGGTTTTTAGAAGTATTTTGAAAAGAAATCCCATCGGTCATATTTCACTATCATTTCAAAATAAATTTCATGCTTAGTTAAAGTTTGAGTATTGCTGAAAGCTAAGTTGTATATAGTCATTTCTTATGTCCATTCAAGGTCAGTTTAGATATTACCTGTGTATAGACAGGTCACACAGTTTTTACAATGGAAACTATTAGTCCTTTTTGGTAGTACAGGTGAGAGACTTCTGGTATATATGACAATAAGCCCATACTTGTTAATTAGCCTACCCATACACAATGTTTTCAATGGTATAACCAAAAGGTTATCCAGAATTAGATTTGGAGTTCATATGGTGGCTCGAAGATTCAATATGGGAGGAATTAAACAGGAATACAACATTTTATTTCATGATCAATGTGTTACTCGGTGATTGAATTGAATCAAAAATGGCGCAACCAAATGACTGTTCGATTTTGTCCTCCATATTTTGATTTAAAACCCTGTCAAAACTGGTTTTTCATGGTTATGTCATAAAAAATATCTTTTTATTTTATAACACTCTTTTCAAAGTTTAAATTTTTGAACCTAACTGAAAAAAACTTCTAAGACTTCTATAAATTATCATGAAATGAAAACTTGTTGAATATCCAATATTGCAACCTCCTAAGTGACAGTTTGACAAATGAACTAATTATGATGCTGTCTGTCATAACCCTGGCCTTAGTTATATAACCCTGACCCCTGACCTTAGTTACATAACCTTGACCTTTAGTCTTATAACCCTGACCAAAGTTACATAACCCTGGCCTTAGTTATATAACCCTGACCCCTGACCTTAGTTACATAACCTTGACCTTTAGTCTTATAACACTGACCAAGGTTACATAACCCTGGCCTTAGTTATATAACCCTGACCTTTAGTCTTATAACCCTGACCTTGCTTACATAACCTTGACCTTTAATCTTATAACCCTGACCAAAGTTACATAACCCTGGCCTTAGTTATATAACCCTGACCTTTAGTCTTATAACCCTGACCTTAGTCTTATAACCCTGACCAAAGTTACATAACCCTGGCCTTAGTTACATAACCCTGGCCTTAGTTATATAACCCTGACCTTTAGTCTTATAACCCTGACCTTAGTTACACAACCCTGATCTTAGTTATATAACCCTGACCTTAATTACATAACCCTGACCTTAGTTACATAACCCTGACCTTAGGTAATGTTCTACCTATTTTCTATGCTTTGGTTTCCTATAGTAAAGATTGTAACACACACATATACATGATATTCACATCAAGTTTCTAATACTACTCTATCAATTGATCATAACATTTAATTTCATAAATCTAATGTTTATTTTCTCTGTATTGAACACTCCAGGTTGTTCTAAGTTTTGACACAGAGGTTACGATGATTGACAGAATACTTGTTTTCATGTCTCGGCATGTAAACATTGTACTAGTAGCTACTGGGGATGTGCAATACTCTATATTGATATCTTTATATTGTAACAATGCTGGCCATTTGTGATGTTTAAAGTAAAGCTATAAGCCAGGCCACACATATCACCAGTATATTTACCTGGGTACACATTAAATTGCATTTTTTAAATCAATGTCATATAAAAGTCAGATACCGTTGTTATTTTGGTCCAATAACTTTGTTAATCAAAAGACACTCACTGGTCAAAAGCGATTTATTTTTTCTGAAGTTCAAATTTTCAACAACCATTTTGCCAAAAGCATAAAGGATGCGTTCCTATAAAACATAAAATAGCCTGGTTTACTCACAATATTTTATGTGGATTTATTCTGTTCTTGAAAATGGCAAAAATAAGCCCATCAAAAAATGAAACCACAAGACATGGCTGATAGTACAGATTCTTAAACCCGATTCTCATCCACACAGAAAATGGGATTTTAATAAAGTTCTCACATCCAAACTTGTGTTCTCATAATCCTGACATAAATATCCTTCATGTCTTTTTACTGAACATTGGCCATTGATTATTTCATCTCTTAGATTTGAACTTATTTCTGTAAAAAGAAAGGTAGTTAAATGGTACCTGTAAGTACATTTGTTTGTACATTTTTTTTGTATAGCCAGGGTTCTGACTATCGATACATAAAATATAAAATGGCTGATAGATAGAACCCATCTGAGTAATCATAGGCGTATACTGGTGATATGGCAAAGTAAGGCCTGTTGGTTGTTTACATTGCTATTTATGTAATTAAATATGTTTAATGTCAAGATGTGCTCTATGGAATTAAAAAAAAAAAGAAGAAAAAAGCATTGCTTTTATTGTGTGTTAATTCATACAAAGAGTTTCTAAAGAAACCATAGGACCCACCATCAATGATCTTCACTTATTTATAAAGCGTATGTTAAATTGGTAATTTCTTTTTTGTCATCTTGAATGTATACATGTATTTCGTGTAAATATTGGATGAATCATGCTTTGCAAGAGAGACAAGAATTCCAAGTGGGGTCTTCGTGCCAAGAATTATTTTACATCTGTTCTGAAAAATGTTCAATCTTTTTCGTTTTTTTCACCGCAGTACTCTCAATTAAATGAAATTTGAGAATTCCTTAAAGAACTACAATAAGAAACTTTCAATTTTAAAATCCAAGATGGCCACCTAGTGGCCTTTCTTTCTATGTAATTCCAAAATTGAATGACCACAACAGGCACCAAAGGGAATCTACTTATGAAATTTGACAAAAAACCATCCAGAACTTCACAAGCAATAGTGATTACAAGAACCGTTTAAGGACAGGGTGATTAAGCAACCAAACAACTGATAAATAGAATCTAAAAAAGGTGTCAAACAAAATGACTAGAGCTGTATAGTACAAGGGAACAAACTTTAGAGGTATGGAATCTAATGATGCCACTAACAGTCATCAAGTACCAAGCTAAACTTCAAAAACAGCTGCTGGTAATAGTTTTCAATAATGTATGACCTTGAAATGAAATATGGCCAGTATGTCTAAATCCTTCAAAGTTTTCAGCCATAGTGGTAAAATGTATATATATAATACCTTAAATGTCAAAATCCAAAAGGGCTATTGGTGGCCATATTGATGAAAATATGCATGTTCATTAATTTTAAAGATGATCTTTCCATCTTTAGTCCAACATCAGCTGGTGGGCTATTGAAATCACCATTTGTCCCTGACCGTCCATAAACAATTTTTGTTGTCGCCATTTTACGGAAAGAACTAGATGGATCTTTCTGAGATTTCATATGTGGGATCCACTCATTTAGTTGCGCCCAATGTTTTGGAATGATCTGATAAATGGCATGGCCAACACTTTGTCTAGTTGTGACCGTTTGATTTTGGGATGGATATCCAAAAAGGCTGAAAGGCAGCCATCTTGGATTTTGAAAAAGAAAGTTTGTTATCACCATTTATTGAGGACATGATGGATCTCTCTAAAAATTTCTTATGTAGGTTTCCTCTGCTCTGAAGTTGAGCCAGTTTAATTTTGGGGCTAATAAAAAAAACAAAATGGACAACAGTTATCCATCTTGTTAAATCTTGCAACATGAGTATATGTATTACATAAAAAAAGCCGTGTCTTGCACAAGCTCATGAACAACACCAGTTCTGATCTAAACCACAAACCACCTTGAGCTGTCAAACCAAATTTAAGAAGGTTAGAAAAATATGAAATACATAAGCCTTTAGATCTTTAAAGATTCTTTTATTATTTCCGCAATAATAACAAAATAAGAAAATAATCCCACACACAAAAGCTTAGCTTTGCAATTTCAAGAAAACAATCACATGTATCTTATTGTACAGAAGCAACGATGTAATGTTACCTTGACCGCCAATGCTTGGTAGTAAACCCACATTATATAGACCATTGTAATAAAGGAAACCTCCATCAGATACGATATTCTAGGCTCTGCTGAGATATATAACCTGCATGGAAATCTCCATCAGATGGGATATTTTAGGCTCTGCTGAGAAGTCATTAGTCCATATATAGACCAGGAGAATAATAGAAATCTCCTTGGATACAATATTCTAAGCTCTGCTGCAGGTAAATAAAACCATATCATATTGACGAAGGTAATACTGTTACATAAATCTCCCCTTATTACTTCAATGAATCCTTTATCATATTACCACTTTAAATGTTACATAGGTGAGAGACAAGATTCAAAGAAAGTTTTGAACATTGCTATCACCACTGTAGGTCAAAGGTCATTAGTGTCAGTCCATATAATCGGTGATTTCATGTCACAAGTTTTATGGATTCAGCAACAAATTAAAAAAAATAAAAATTAAACTGTTGGTAAACTGTTCAGCACCATCAAAATATTTGACCAATGACTTAGAATATTGATCAAGGTAAATTATTTCATGATTTTTGTGGCACTCAATGCAATAAGCTGCTGATTAGGTAACAATAATCTATGCTTTTTGGTTCATTAGAAGAAGCATACATACAGAAATAAAACCATCTACTGGAACAATGATGTTATATATTAAAAAGCTGCAAAGTAGTTTGAGACCGATATGTTTGGTCCTAGAAAAATGTTTATTCAACAGTAAGCCTGGAGGGTCAACTTAAAACATTATACTGAGAGCAAGGGGTGGATTTACTACAGGATGTTCACAGTTCTTAGAACTGTAATAGATCTACATCAGTGAGCTTATGACCAGGCATTGCCATACTGTCAAACAAATAGGAAAAGTATTTCGACATACATACAGTAACACATATTATGGCATATTCGTATCAGATGAACACAAATGTAAACAAATAACCAGATGACAAACTTCGGTAACATGTTATACAACAGACTAGGTCAAACCATCAGCTTACAGAGAATGGAACAGATTTATACAATCATCTGTGATACAAGTGGTTATAAGTAGCAACATTTAATGTCACAAGTTCGAGAGCGATGAGATTTTTTCCAAATTGATGAAAGCAAAACATATTTGAACTATACTTTGTCAGTGTATATACTATCTGACAAAAAAAAATTCTACATAACACAGTTATGTTTATGGACAATGATTCTTCCTTTCAAAGTTTTCTTTACCACATTTGAATAACTGCTTTCCATTTTTTTTTTCGACCTTGAAAAACAAATACTAAATATATGGCATGATGTAAGTATGACTAGATTATCTGCGACATTTAGGTGACCAATGACACAGAAACACTTACAGTAAAACTCTTACATTACATTTCTCAAATGCAGACCCGTCACATTACATTTCTCAAATGTAGACCTTTTACATTACATTTCTCAAATGTAGACCTGTTACATTACATTTCTGAAATGAAGAACTTTTAAATTACATTTTTCTAATGTAATATTCATACATATTTCTCAAATGCAGACCTGTTACATTACATTTCTGAAATGAAGAACTTTTAAATTACATTTTTCAAATGTAATATTCATACATAATATTTCTCAAATGCAGACCTTTTACATTACATTTCTCAAATGTAGAACCGTTACATCACATTTCTCAATTTTACAGAACTCTTAAAATACATAAATTTAACATTACATTTCTCAAATGTAGAACCGTTACATCACATTTCTCAATTTAATAGACCCATACACTGCATTTCTCAATTTTACAGAACTCTTAACATACATAAATGTAACATTACATTTCTCAAGGGTTAATTTTTTCATTACATTTCTCAAATGTTAATTTTTTCATTACATTTCTCAAATGTAGAACTCTTACATCACATTTCTCTGTTAAATAGAGTTTTAATTAATTCAATTTCATATAACGTTTTCTTCATTTTAACAATACATTTCTCAAATGTAAGTTTTTCACATTACATTTCTAAAGTTAAAAGTCTTTTACGTTAAATAATTACATTTCCCAAACGTTGAACTCTTCCATTTCAATTCTCAACAAATAACTCATACATCTCATTTTCCAAATGAAGAATTTTACTTCAAATAACTGATCAAATCTCGACCCTTAAGTACTCCATAATACTCTACAGATGCTATCATATTCAGACAAAATTAATTAAGTATTATCTGAATATTGTCTTTTTCACAAATACAAAATTTATTTGAACAATAAACAAGACATAATAAACATTGCAAAAACTTAGTGAAATTTTAAGAATTGTTAAAACTTTTCATTGTTTACCAGTTTTGTTTGGGAGTAAAGGACATAGTCATCTGTGCTTGTACATACAAAACCAGATTCTTCCAACCATGACCCATTTTCTTAAGGTTTAACCAATAATAGTAGGGAGCTTATGGACATCAAAACAGTCAAATTTCCTATTTTTGTAACGACTGGAACTTCCAGTTTATTTCAGTCTACTCAAATGTTTTGAAGTATAAAAGTTTGGTCTCACCCTGAAGATTTTTTCAAAATGAAATCTTTTCACTTTCCTTCCTCAGTTTCATTCTTGAACAGAATTGCTTACTGTGTACATGAGATTACAATATATTGAAGCACAAACAAGATTGAGTTCAAGTAACAAATAACCAACTATCTGCAGTCTGTGCAAGACTTTCAAACAGGACATTACCAGTTTTCCAGGTCTGACCCCCTTGGCAAGTATGTGGTCTTCTGAAGTAAGTATCCTGACAAAGTAGTCCTGTACAATAGTTCATCCATGTCCATGACATGTTATGATAACTGAAAGTAGAGTTATTTGCTGAGCCTTTTTATCCACAGAATTAAAAGATTTAAAACAGTTTAAAAAAAAAAAAACCCAAAGAAATCCACGAAAATTGAGTCCCATGAAACTGACTTACAGGAGTATTTACAGGAAAAAGTTGATTTATGACATAAAACTGGAAATGAGTGCTGTCTGATCGTAATTCTTTTTTTTTGTTTTTACATTTTTAAGTCTACATCTTCCTGCACTGTCTGCTGTGTCTCGACAGACATATCTGTATCACCGGTATCCTGTTGACCTCTTGTTTCATCCAACTGAACAGAATCACAATGCATGTTTTTATACTCCTTCGCCTCCTTTACTAGGTCGAGACTTTTCTCTACTTCTGTACACTTGTCTGTCTCTGCCATCAAGGACTTCTCTTGGTGTGGATCACTGACTTCCAAACATGACAACACTTCTTCTGAATCTGTAACATCATTTCTGGTCTCTCCAACACTTGATACAAAACCCTCTTTTGTACTAGATGAACTCTCTTTTTCTCCTGATGAACTTTCCTCCACACATGACAACTTATCCCTTTCACCTGATGAGCTAACCTTTTTACCTGATGAAGAGTCCTCCACACCTGATGAGCTAACCTTTTCACCTGATGAAGAGTCCTCCACACCTGATGAGCTAACCTTTTCACCTGATGAAGAGTCCTCCACACCTGATGAGCTAACCTTTTCACCTGACGAAGAGTCCTCCACCTCTGATGAACAATTCTTTTCATCAGATGAAGTGTCCTTTTTACCTATTGAACAGTCTTTTACAATTGAAGAATTGCCTTTCACACCTGATGAACTGTCCTCTTCACCCAAAGAATTGTCTTTCACACCTGATGAACTGTCCACTTCACCAAAAGAATCGTCTTTCACACTTGACAAACCATCCTTCATACCTGATGAATTGTCCTTCACACTTGAGAAACTTTCCTTTACAACAGATGAATTGTCCTTCACCTCTGATGAGCTGTCCATCATACCTGATGAGCTTTCCTTCTCAACAGATGAATTGTCCTTCATACTTAATGAACTGTCAATTTCACCTGAGGATTCAACGTTTAGATCAGAACTGTCATGCTTGCCTGATGATTTGTTGTCAACACTTGATAAAATATCCTTTTCACCTGCTGGATTTGCTTGTATGTTTGGTAAAAGCTCCTGTGTCTTAGATGGAATATTCTCAACACTTGATGAACTGTCTTTTACACCTGTCAAATTCTTGTTACACTCTTTAGTATCTGATGAACTTCCATCATTTACCTGCGACAAACATTTCTCAGAATCAGATTTTTGTCTCACTGGAGTGGCACATTCTGTCATACATTTGTCCTCATTTACCTTACTGCCTGTTGATGCTGATGAAACACCCGATACTTCTAGAACTTCTGTTTGTGTTTTTGTTACTTCAACAGATGAATTGCTAGCAGTATTTTCTGACACTAATTCCACGTGACTGTCTGTCTGAGATCCTAAACTCCCTGATCGCTGCGTCTTCTTTATCAATGGCAATGATCTTCGGCCCTTTCCTCTTTGTCGAACAAATTTGAAAGCTCGAGCTTCCTCAAGAGCTGCCATCATCGTTTCTAAATTTGGAACAACTTTAGCACTGGGTGGGGAACAAACCATCTCTGTGTCAGAATTCTCAAAATCAGATACACTTGGAATATCCCAGGAGTCAGAGAGAGTTTCACCAACATCTTCCTGTGAATTAGAGCAGGCTCCATCCAAACTTGTTGATCGCTTCATCTCATATTTCTTTTTTATTGGGACCACTAAAGATTCAGAATGATTAGATGCGGCCTCCTCCTCATTTGCACAATCTTCCAGACTATTGCTCCTTCTCCGTTTACGTGCTTTTTTTGTATCATTTGCAGGTGTCTCCCCTTTGCTACTCTCCAACTTTGAAGGATTAGTATCAAAACTGTTACTCCTTTTTCGTTTTCTTGTCCTCCTCAGTTCTTCAGTTTTCATTTGTAAGTTTGCAGCAGCATCTGCATCGGATTGCGCCTCTGAATCTCCTGTTTTAATGGACAGACTATCCTCAGTATTATCTTTCTTCGCTGACTTTGACCTTGTGGTGATTACCATTGATCCTGAATGGTCGGAGCTACATGTGACATTGGCAGCAGATGCTTCTTTCCTGTCATCTTTTTTTGCTTTTCCCTGTGACATTTTCTTGGACTCCGAGAGCTCTTTGTCAGATATCAGAACTTCCGCTTCCTTACTTACCCACCCTGATGTCTTCCTTTGACTTTGAGATCGAAGTGCCGGGCCAGTACTTTTGGATTTAATTGTGTTGATTTTTTTCTGACTTCTTACTTTAGAAGCCTCTTTATTCAAGTCAATGATGAGTGTACTTGCTGTGCAATTCCTTGCTCTTGTACCATGGGACCTGATCAAATGTGTGTTGCATTCAGATTTGTTGTAACTGGAAAACTTGCAGAGCTTGCATTTATAACGTCGCCAACCAAGATGGCGGACAACATGTCGTCGTAGATTTGACAGACAGCTGAATCCTAAACCACACTGCAAACATTTCATTTCCTTCTCGTCGCTGAGGTACGCTATCCGACTCAGATCAAGACACCTAGTCTGGACGGTCTCCTGTGATGTGCCAATGTTTTTTGGATCAGTGACATACATTTGAGTTCTTGTTGTTCTCATCCTCTCTGATGCCCTGGTGGTGTGACCAGATGTCAATGGAGATGGTCCTTTGGAAGCAGACGGAGTAGGACTGCTCTTGTAAGTCATCATAGCATAAGCATTACCCCTGACCTCCTCAGAAGGTAGCCCTGGTTCTTTTAGCACCCATACCTCCTCCACCAGTTGTACCTCAGGCTCGGGACTTGCAGATATATAATCAGAGTTGGGCTCAGCAGAATCTGAATCAGAACTTCTATCTGACTCCGAAGATTTATCCTCTGCAGTGGAACTAAAACTTTTATCTACAAAAGAGGATTCTTCAGATCTTGAAACAGAAGTTTTTTCCACTGTTTTAGATGTAGAGCGTCTTTCAGATGTGGATTCAAGGGATTTAGGAATCCTTGGTGTGAATTGGGTAGAAGCTCTAGCTGATCCTCTGCGTGTATGTGTATTGACCTTGAGGCCAAGAAAACTTTGATTTTCTGGAGTTACAGAAGAAATGATCATACTGCCCACTTGGATGTCTGTGTGTTGGGAATCATCTTCTGTATTCTTGGTATCTGATTTCAGAGACTTTACACGACTAGCACTTGATAATCGTGTAGAACGACATGATGATTCACCGTCCACCTCATCAGCTTTCTTGTTATGCGACTGTAATAAGTCTTTCGTTTGTCTATTTGTTTCCTCTTCATTTCCAGCAGACATTTTGTCACGAATCCTTGCACTTCGTTTCTGAAATTCAACTCCATTTTCTCCTTCCTTTGTTTTTCCACTTGCTTTGTTAGGATCTGTTGACCTGGTTACTAACGGTCTTGTTTTTGTCACATCTGCAGAACTCTGAAATCCAGAATTCCATGAAGTTGAACTTGTATCTTTTTGACCTGATCGCCTAGTTACTATGCTCTGTAGAGTACTGATTGATTCAGCCGTGATCTTTGATGCTGGTGACTGTTGCGATTGGTTAACATCCTGAGGACTGGGATATTTATCAATAACACTGTCAGCTTTGGTGTCAAGTTTAGCTGACCTTCTTGTAGAAATCCTTTGAACATTCCCAACAGTTTTTGAACTATCAGCCATTCCAGGTTTATTTCCAGATATTTTTTGACTTGGTTCCCCAGCAGGTTTTTTATTTGTTTCTGTTGTAGTATGTGTATCTGGCTCTGTGGTGTTTAGTGACATGTCTTTAGATGCTTCTCTGTTGTTGAGGTTCTTATCAGTTCTAACACCAATACTTGTCCGATTACTTTTTCTGACAGATGGTCGAAAACCATCATCACTCTGACTGTTTGATTCTACTCCATCGTTGTCTTTTGTGATGTTTTCTGATAGCACCTTGTGTAGTTCTTTAGTCCTTGTACTATGCTCTTGTTCCGTAGTTTGGCCATCACTCAATATTGAAACTTTATTTCTTGTGCTTACTTGAGGAGAAATCCTGTCTTTCGAGTTTCTTCTACTCCTGTCCTCCGATTTGCTAGCAGAGACATTTCTAGTGCGAGTTCTGGACAAACTCCTGTCACTTGTATTTTCTGTACTGCTGTCTCTTCTAGTCCTAGTATTTTTTTCACTAGGATAGTTTTGTCCATCCTTTTTCGATGATGTTGGACTTGATTCAGTTTCCTCCCTTGATCTACTCTGGTCAGTTGAGGATTGAGCTGATGATGACCTGGTACTGACTCTTGATGAACTATCTTTGAAACTTTCTGGACTTTTGTCCCTGATGATGTCTGCTGGTGAATTTTGCCTATCCCTCTTTGTTGACATCTGCTGTGCTGTTTGAGATTTATCATTTGTTGATTCTGTTGTCCTTTGACCAGATCTGGTGCTTGGTCTTGCCGAACCCTCTCGACTTCTTTCTCTACTATCCCTGGTATTTTTGGCTGTAGAAATTTCTTCAGGTACAACTCCTTCAGTCAATCTCTCTGTACTACTATCTCTGCTCTTTGACTTATCAACATCAATCCTTGATTCCTTTTCAGTGCCTGATCTGCCTCTTAAGCTTGATCTTTTCTGTCCATACTCATTACTCCCAGCAACAGAAGGAAAAGTCCTCTCTTTATCTGGGGAAGTTGATGGAGTTGTCTTTCCGCTCTCTCGTGACCCACTTCTAGAACGATCCTGACACTTATTATCATCCTGTGTATCTTCAAATGCCAAAACTACCTTGACACAATCTCTTTTCTGAAGAACTGGACTACTGGCTTCAGATCCAGATTTACTCTGGGGTGATCTATCAGGTCTTATTTGAGATTCACGTCTTTTGTCAAAAAAGCGGGTTCTCATGTATTGGGTTTCTTTTTCCATGGACTTAGTTGAATTCCTGGTGACTACCTGATGTTTTGAGGGCGTATTTGGTGAACTGCTGTTGGATGCCTTACTTGGAGAAGACAATGAAGATTTCTGCTCCTGTGACTTTTCTTGGTGTTTAGTTCTATCAATGCTTGAAGGCGTGGATAATTCAGACCCATCTCTGGAGTCATCATGATCAGTTTCCATTGCCTCATCATGGAGAGCGTACTTTTGTTCATTGTCTTTACCTTCACCAGTTTGGCCTTTTTTGGATAAAGAGACACTCTGCTGGTTTGTTTGCTCATTTACAACGACCTTTGACCTTGTTCTTAACCTTGCTCGTCTTTCAATACTTTCCAAGTTCTCCATTACATTTGAAGATACTAAATGAATGTCTTTTTCCATGGCCTTTGACCTTGTAGATGGTCTATTTGGTGCAGTTTCTGCTGTTTTAAGTGTGTGTATGTCTCTACTAGGCTCCGATCTTGACCTACTTGTTGACCTGGAATTTGTGAATGGTTTGTCAGTCGTGACATTGGAAGTTACAATCCATTTACATTGATTTATATGGTCCTCATAGTTAGACTTTTTCCAGAAAGCCCTCTTGCAACCCTGGCATTTATTTAATTTTATTCCAGCAGTTTCACTATCTCTTAGAGTTCTAGTTACAGAACCTGTCTGGACAGATGTTTCTTGTTTGGAACGGTCTAAACTTTGCCCTGATGACACTCGAGACTTCGGATCTAGCTGCTCTTTTTGCACTGATTCCTCTTGCTCCAAGTCTGCATTATCAAAGGCCATTGACTTGAGCTTATCTCTCATCTTGTCTATCTTTTCCTTGCTTAAATTGTGGTTGTTTTGTAAGTGTCTTGTCAGTCCCCAGAAGTAGCTGAATCTTTTCTCACACATAGAACAGGGGAATAGTCTCTTCCTTCCGGAGTGGATCGAATGCATGTGTTGCAGAAGACCTTTGCGACTACTATAGCTAGCAGAACATAGTAAACACCTTGACAATGCCAGGTCACAATGTCCCAATAATCCGAGCTCAGACAGCTCAGAATACTGATGGGAACCAAGCTGACTCTTCACTGGTCTTAACTGAACAAATTTCTTGTTTTTCTGTTCCATTTGTTTTTGTTTGCTCAGTGAAGTGTTTCCAAGGATAGCTGATGGACCTTCATTGACAATCTTCTGTACATCTGGATTTTTTCTCTTGCTACATCGGACAGATAAATTTTCCTGTGTCAGTTCAGTATCAACTTTTTTTTCTCTGCTTACAGTGTTTTCTCTGTTCTGAATGAACATAGTTTCCTCGTGACTCTGTGATGACTTTTTCTGACCAATGAGCACACTGCTGTCATGTTGTGAAGAAACAATTACATTTTGTGCCTTATCAGCTGTGCCACTTTGTGTAACAGTTAAATAAGCTGCATTCTGATTGGTTGGGATGGGAGTCATTACAACATGAGAAACTTCTTTAGCTTTTCTCTCCCTTTCCATTTTTTCTGCTGTCTTTGAATAGAAGTTATACTCTGAGGATTTTCCACGAAACTTCCCTGTCAAAAGTTGTTTAAGTGTAGAAGAATCACCATCACTACTATCCTCTTCATCTTTATTTTCATTCTGACCTTGACCTCCCTGTCCATGACCCTGAATTAGCCCGCCTTTGTCACGACATTGAAATTGTTTCTGTGCAGACCTAGCAACGTTTGACAAAGAGACATTGCCACCAGATTTGGGTTGAGAGACTGTCCTTGACCTTGATTGTGACAATGTAGATGACGTAAATACATTTGACAAAACAGACTTTGCATTATCTATAGAGCCAGTAGGAGTTGCTTTGGTTGTCACTGACTTTGTCACTGGTGCTGACTGACTAGATGCTTTTGACATAGTCACTGCTGGAGACATAGATCCAGGTGAAGCGTCCGTTGGTTGGACGACAACCACAGATTCTTCTTGACCACTGGATGGAAAAGATGTCTGTTCAAACTCAGTGGTGCAGTATATCCGCTTGTGAGCAACAAAGTTAGGAATACTCCTGAAAAGGTTACGGCATACGCGACATTCCACAATAAAATCACACTCATTATACATCAGATTGCGTACCTCTGGTGTTCCATAGTGGACACAGTTTAATATTTGTTGTACCATTTTGTGACCTGCCTCTATCGCCACTGAGATGACGGAGAAGTCTATTTTTGAAATACTATCCTCTTCATCGCTCGTGTCTGACATCTTGTTCCTATTTTATCTGAAAATCTGGAAAAAAATTATAAATTTTATTATCTAAATACAGTAAACATAAGATTTTTTAAAAATGAAAACAGCAATATTTCTTTGCATTTACGTAATTTTTGGACAACATCCAAAGTTATTTTCAACTGCAAAAATGAACAATTTCACTGACAGGGACCTAACAAGCATAACCTATTTAAGATATTTGAAATAAACTAACATCAAGCTAAGGTATAACAATTCAAAAAACATATACATATAATGTAGTTTGTACGATGGTATGTAAAAAATATCACATGGGTAGTTTGTGTTTAAGGCGTCACAAATATCTGGATGGGTATAGCTGATGTGATGGTGTGTCCTAATATCAGGGTGGGTAGTTTGTGTGATGTTGTGTCACAAATATCTGGATGGGTAGCTTGTGTGATTGAAAATTTGACAAAAATATCAGCGCAGGTAGTTTGCGTGATTGAATGACACAAAAATCTGGATGGGTAGTTTGTGTGGTGTGTGTCACAAATATCAGGATGGGTAGTTTGAGTGATAGGGTGTCACAAATATCAAGATTGCTAGTTTGTGTGATAGGGTGTCACAAAAATCAGGGTGGGTAGTTTGTGTGATAGGGTGTCACAAAAATCAGGATGGGTAGTTCGAGTGATGGTGTGTCACAAATATCAAGATTGGTAGTTTGCGTGATAGGGTGTCACAAATATCAAAATTGGTAGTTTGAGTGATAAAGTGTCACAAATATCAAGATTGGTAGTTTGTGTGATAGGGTGACAAAAATATCAAGATTGGTAGTTTGTGTAATGGTGTGACAAAAATATCAGGGTGGATAGTTTGCGTGGTGTGTCACAAATATTGGGATGGGTAGTTTGCGTGATTGGGTTTCACAAATATCTGGATGGGTAGTTTGTGTGACAGGGCAGGGTTTTCCATAATTTTGTTAGTAGTGGGCTGTGTAGTGAAAGTAGGAGGCTGGCCTGCCGTGTACTTGTAGTTGTGTACGGAACATTATTACGGAACTGGTTTGGTGTAGGTGGCCAAATAATCAAAGTAGCCGGTCAAATTGGCCGGCGACCGGCTCTTATGGAAAACCCTGATAGGGTGACAAAAATATCAGGGTGGATAGTTTGTGTGGTGTGTCACAAATATTGGGGTGGGTAAATTGCGTGATTGGGTTTCACAAATATCTGGATGGGTATAGCTTATGTGATGGTGTGTCCTTATATCAGGATGAGCAGTTTGTGTGGTGTGTCACAAATAACAGAATGAGTAGCTAGTGTGACTGGGATTCAAAAACATGAGGATGAATAGTTTGTGTTTGCGTGAGGAATTGTTTTATGAATTGAGTGGCCCAAGATTCATTCTGATCTCGAGCTGCTTCCTGCTGTGGAGACGATGGTTATTTCAAATGTGAAACTTGCATTTTGAGAATGGGGAAAAGTCTTGGGATAGATTAAAGATTTATGACTGACAATTCACATGCATACAGATTCAGACTGCCTCTGATTTTCTCTAAGTTCTTTGCTGACATACACTAAGTATACTCCAGATTTGTGCAGTTCAATTTGGAAAAAAAAAATATTGATGTCTTTCAAATATATATAATGGAACTTTATCTGAGTCTCCATTGTCTTAATAAGTACTTTCATCAGATTGATCTCATATTGACAAACACTGCACGTAAAAGCTGCTGCCATACCCCAGACAGAAACTTGTGTGACAGTCTGATTCATGTGTTTCTATGATGGTGCAACACAATATTCATACCTCTGGTGGGGTATTATCCTGCTTGTAATTAGGGTTGGTGGTTTGTGTATTCGTATGTCACAAATTTCAGGAGAGTGTAGATTCTGCTAAATTGTTGTCTCAAAGATTTGGACATGAATTGACCGGAATTAAATCAAGATAACTAATTTACAGCACGTACTTCATGAACACAACTCTGAAAATTAATAACTTGATTCCATTGCTGGGCATGATTTGCCATGAAACTTCTTTCGTCAAATATTCACTTTCTACATATGCTCCTTCTTTTATGTACAGGCTCGTGCAGGAACATGAAGTCTAAATTTAGACTATCGATTGTCATAATAGATATCACAATAGCATATCAAAATCAAATCTGTAAGTGGTAATAAGTGACCAAGACGCAAATAAAATTCAAAAGCATAGCTGTCATTCACTAAATACCGGTTGGCTGTTCAAGCACCATTTCTCCGGGTTGCAATGGATGTGCCAGCACAATTCGGGCGATGAAATTCTACCATTTCACACATTTTGACGAAATGAGTCATGTGTGTTTTGCAATATATGGATGTATAAATGCATAAATCAAGAATTACCATTAAAAAACTGGAGTGTTGAAGCATTAAATTATCAATATTCGACTTTTTGATTTTTTCCAAGGCGTGCTCTCTCGTCAGTGAGAACTTGATCCTATGACGAATTGCAAAGCATTGTGGGAAGTTTTACATCCGGCGAGAAACCGTAGCAATCCAAAGGAAAAGGTAAACAGACCCGCACGTGATGTATTTTGTCAAGTTATGAATACTTAAAATAACTTTAAATCATTAGTAAACAAACAACGCTTATATAATCGTCTTAAATATTTACGATATGTGGCCGAAAACCACTTCCTCTTTGATCTGACAATCATTTTACTTGCTCACTGAAGTCGACAGGCCAAGGCCTTGTCGCTGTAGATAAGAAACTGACGGGGATCCCGGATCTTTCAAGCTTTTGTGCAAATTTAGGTCGTGGTGAAAAGTAAAATAGTGACATATTTAATATTATGTGTACATAAAGGCATATTCATTTGAATGCAAATACATGAGAAAGTATTGTTTACAAGGTTTTTGAAATAACGCTCCCTGAACCAACTGCAACTGAAATCTAAAAAATTACATTTCAAAGGGAGATAATTTTTAGGAAAAAAAAAAGTCCCAGGCAATCATCCAATTAAACTTATTCAGTTAAATAAATGACAAAGGAAACATTGTGTATATTTCTAGTGAAAGCTGAACAGGCTTACTGATAGAACTATTCAAGAGTTGATGTGCTTTGTTTTGACTGGTGTAAATAAATTCTCTTCAGCTGTTGTATCATGTAACATAGTGGAAGGCATGGGTATTGTGTCAGCCTAAACAGAATTCTAACATTTTATGTTTCTCTGGCGTCAGTACACATTTGACAATAGACCAACACCAAAATATGATGAACCCATGTAGTCGTCAGTATGACGAGAGTGGTCGGTTCAAAAGATATTTAGAACATGTACAAAAAACTACTTCAGTCGTTCACTTGTCTGAATTCAGGGTTAGGACTGTTTATCCAAGTCACAGCTGATTGGCAAATGGCAGCTAGATATATATATATAGTGAAAATCCTGGTTGCAAGTTTCAGCCCCAACTCCTTCACATTAAAGGTATGGTGATGTCTTGACCATAAGTCAGTATTACATGTTGACAGTTAGTGTCATGATAACAATATGTAAACAATACACCATATATGTTTGCAGGTTGGCTGAAACTGACATTGACGGATGAAATGAAAATATGTAATGCACGGTGAGCAGGTGTGATATTCGGTAAATTATAATTAAGCCAGTTTATTGCTTTAATAACATTTTCAGGTCAATTGTCACATGACCTTGTTACTACCTTCAAAAAATGCATATTCACGCAAATACAGTAATGGGACAGGGCAAGTTCCTGTAGTCATTTTTGTGCCAAGAATAATGCACATAGGATCTCTGGGACTATGTGTTTAGCCAAAACCTCTTAGATATAGGAGGTTTACAAGACTAAGAAATTCCAGTATTCATAATTTTGCTCCTTTTACACAATTTAATGCTATGGTTAATTTTTGTATGTAGATAATTATTATTTTCATTTTTCTAAATTGTTGAAGGCAACATATAAAAATAGGAAGAAATTAGCAATAGATATGAGAAAGTAGGAAAGAGTTCCTTTTGAACCCCCACCCAAAATGACTACCAGTAGGCTATAATAAGTATCTAAAAGGGTTTATTTTAAGGGGTACCAAGAAAAATTGGGGCATGGTCTTAAAATCAACCCTTTCAGACACTTGTATTATATTTACCAGGTATGATAACCCATTTGTAGCCACTTTGGGTGGGGGGTTTCTAAAGGGACTCTTACCAGAAGGTACATACCAGCTGGTGTCATGATTCGAAGTGGATGAATCAATGATATCACTAATTTGAAGAGAAATTTCCATCAGGCACAGATCATCAGTCTATCTGTATCTTCACAGTTTCTATACTCTGTTATTCAAAATTTAAAGTCTTCATTCCTGTAGACAATAATCTTAATTGAACTGTCAAAATCTACCATGAAGTTTACACAAAATTCAAAATTAGGGATCTACATGTGCTACAAAATTCATATAACTGATTTTTAGGTCACAATACAAGACCATGATCGATATATTACAATAATACCAGAGTGGATTGTGTCTTGACATATGAATATACATGTAATCCTCCATTATTTCCATTAGTTATGTCTCCAAAGAATGTATAATAAGGCATGACTTCAAATCATGCCTGTTTGAATTTAATTGCTGTAAATTATGGTCAATTATTAAATTTGATTCAAAATCATTACATTTTGAATTATGATGCAACTTGTTAAAATGATATCATATAGATAGATTGCAGTTATGTTATGTACTAAAAGGTCTTTGTTGTAATATTTCAGAACATATATGGAATACCTGCAGAAGAATATATCTCAATTTGCACACAAGGACATATACCAAAACTGAAACAAAGCATTGTTTTGTGTTGTTGATTGTTTAAAGAAAAAATGATTTTGAAATTCATCAATTATGTTTGGACTGAAAACACCTGTTTATACAAACATTATATCTAAATAAACAGAAATCATGACTCATCCACTCTATGACCCCAGAACTTATCGCAGACCAACTGTCAAATCAGCAGCATTGCTCCACAACGGCGATTATTGGACAGTTGACAGACCTAACCAAGGAGCTGCTTCTTGTAGACCGAAGACTGAAACTCGCTCAAAACCGTCATTATATGTAGACTGGGAAATTTTCTGTCCTATAGGCCCTGAGCTGGCTTTTCATGTTGGATGTGCAATAGGTAAGAAGTCTAATCTCCAGCTGTCAGATATCATTCATAATAAATATTTTATTTGTTGTGTTTATCGCTTCATCAAGTCAGAACCATTTTGAAGCAAAGTCTCGATGTAGTAGCTGGTGACGAGCTGTAGGTATACCTTGCAGAAGAATATGCTCGAGGTCTGCTGCATGCTGTTTAAGGGGTTAATGCCAAACAACAGCTTAGGACGCTTTGTGATCTCAATTACCTGAGAAACACAAACCTGCCATACCTATACTAGGGATCAAACCTGAGCTGAAATGTCTGATGCTCTAACAACTACAAGAGCTATGAATCCTCCTCCTTTGGATCTGAAATTGAATTAAGTTTCCTGTATTTTGTTTAATTGCGATCTTTCTTTGGTTGTGTTTAAGATATATATATTTCTTTTATTCTGAATTTCAAATAAGGAATATTTTTGTATCTGTATATTTTATGTTGTAATATTGTAGGGGACACATTTTACTTTCAGCAATGCAAATACTTAGAGGACATTTATAATTTTAAAAATGTTTTGTATGATAATGTTGTAGGAGACACACTTTAAAGATAAGAATTCAAATATATGAATGTATAATTTTATAATTTGCAGTTTTTTAGTGTTGTAGAGGACACCCTTAACTAACAAACAGGAATTTATGTATAAGAACATTTTTATTTAATATTTTATGTTTTAATGTTGTAGGGGACACACTTTACTTACATGGAGGTGTTAGTTCCTGGGGTGCTCTGACCCCTTCAAATAAACTGTATAGTCTTAATACCAATTCCATGATTTGGAATGAGGTCAGAGTTGAAGGAAGTCCTGCACTCAGTCATCATGCTTGCATCCCATTGGACAACAGATACTTGCTTCTCATTGGAGGATGGAACGGAAAAGGTAGAACATCATCTGTAGTTGCTTTTGACACAGATCAAAAAGTTTGGTTATATCCTAAAGTTTCTGGATTTCCTGAAGATGCTGGTCTCAGTTCTCATACTGCTTCTCTCCTAAGTGATGGCAAAATTCTAGTGCTGGGAAGGGAGGGAACTCTGCGAAGTCAACAGAAGGATCGTCTCAGTGGTAATGTGTATATGTTGTCAGGGAGTCTGGCTCTGGGTGAATACACTTTCACTGAATATAGTCATAACACGGAATCAAGGTCTGGACATACCACCAGCTTCATCGGACCAAAGTTATACATAATGGGAGGGCGGAATGATAACTTTTTAGAGGTCCACAGTGGCTACAAAAGTGGTCTCTATGGCAACAATAGAGAAGTAATTGATACCCTAGTCAGAGTTGCCAAGACTCTTAAACCTGTGCCAAAACTTCCTCATGGAAGGCGACATCATGTAGCTCTTGAAGGCTCTAATGGAGTATTTATTCACGGAGGAGAAAAATTTGATGGGCCTCCAAATCGACGTCCTGCCGGTGAAATGTACATCATGACTGATAGTAAACTTTCCGGGATAAACTTTTACTTACTCGGTGTGAGTCGAGAAGGCAGGGCAGGGCATGTGATGTGTGTGTGTGGGGATCAAATTCTTCTACATGGTGGACTTGGGGATCGTAGGTTAGTTCATGGTGATACACGAGTGCTCCGTATCAGGTGATTAATTGTCACGGGTGACTACGTCTGGCTGGTGTAAAGTTGATTAACATCTAAGTCATAGATGGCCACATCTGGTCACTTTTGAGTTGATTAACATCTTCATCATAAGTAAGTGTCAACAGACAAAAAAGTCCCAGCATGGAAATATCCTTGATGACAAACATACTAACCTGCTATCTGTAAAATTGTGCCATATATTTTACAGTATTTAAATGGAATTCTGCAAAAAGCCCAGAGGACTTTACACAAGTAGTTCTTTAACTTAATACTGTAAGGATGGGCTTATTACAAGAAAATAAAATTACCAGTACATTAATTAATATTTTTAGATCACCGTCACCCGTCATCTGTCCATCCATTTTCAGTCCTGAAGAAATTGTTACTTTTCTTGTGAAGAGCTTAATGGTTCCTGTCTTTAGTGATACCCTTTAAATTTCGAGACTTATCAGGAAGCAATGACTAACAGGAGACTACATTGGTTTTGAAAATGAAAGGTGGTTATTGCTATTTCTTGAAAATTATAAAGAATAGATCTTTCTTGGATTTCACATGTGCTGTCAGTTTATTTTGGTCCCTATCATTGCCAAATCAGTTTTGAAGTTGATCAGGAAAATAAAATGGTGTCCTATGGATATCTTAGATTTGACAAGTAAAAGGGCATTATTGGTATTTTTTAGTAGTACAAAATGGGTGTCCAGGATTATATGTAGTTTCCTCATGACTGCTTGTGGTGCCCTTTTATTGGGGAAAAAACTGAAAAAAAATTAGTTAGTATTGAATTGTTCTTAAGATTCATTTTAAGGTCTTCGTTACTTCTTTAAGTCGTAATCTAGATGGATATTTTGAATTTTTAATGTTTAGGCTCCCCTTGTTTATTGATGTTAACATACAGTGGGTTGCAAGCAAATGAAATATGAAAGAGGAGAAAGGAGGGAAAAGATCCTTCTTGTGAAGACTTGGTAGAGATCATACAATAGTGACCATTAAGATCTCTGTGTGTTCTCCTGTTATCTGGGCAGAGGTGGATGTGTTTGTTACCACGTGTGATATAATAATAAACTTTATTTATTTTACGACAATTGCGAAGCAAGTTTTTCCATCTTATACAAATCACTCTTGTTGGCTCGGATGGAAGCGTGTGAGGGGTCTTAGTGTGGGAGGAAACCGGAGTACCCGAAGGAAACCGGAGTACTCGGGGAAAACCCACGTGGTCAGGCAAGTGACCCTTACCTTTTCATATCCACTCCGGGAATCGAACACCGGACGGCTAGGTGAAAGGCGAGTGCCTTACCACTGTGCCACCCGACCACCCCCATTACCATGTGTATGGGCTTACTGCCACATATGATACACACACAACCATTCAGAACACAAATTTGGGAAAATTGAACTTAATCAATGTAGTATTGATGTTGTTATCGTTACGAGCTGTTCTGATGAAAGAGTCATGAATAACATGTTCACCTTTAATATAGGCGCCAAAGACATACATTGTATTATGTATATATCAAATGTGTCTTGATAAATACTAACGTCTTAATTAACACTGCCATATCTATCCTAAATAAGCCCACTTCTCCAGTGTAAAAAATCAGTATTAAAGTGAAGTGAGGGTTTATTTGTAAACTTCTTATAGTTTACAGCAAAATTGATGAATCTGCCAAAAATAAAGAATGGGGCTAATTTATGAGCAGGGGATTATGTGGAAAAATATGGTATGCTCCAGTATATATTGTTGTTGTTATTGTTGTTTTGTGTATCTAATGAGTTTTGTTTTTACAAATGTCTAGTTATTTACAAATTGTCCTGTGATATTTTCATACTTTTACAAGTGATTGATGTATATTTTTATATGTTTTTACAGTGATAGTAATATGTGTTTTGTTTGTTTACTTTTAACTTGTCCAATTTGTATGATTTATCTCTCTATATATTGACCTACATGTATCAGTGTCATAACATCTACTAACATTTTAGGAACTAATCATCCCAGGAAAATCGTGACTGTCTAGATTTTGAGATTTTTATTAGAATCAACAGGTATTTAAAGTTTTCATTTCTGAAGAAATGCATGACTTTTAATGACTAGAGAAAATTGCTGTATCTTGAAGCTGCAAAAAGCATGTTAACATCTAGACACAAAATGTATTTGAACACAATTTATTGATGATAAATATCAAAAGGAAATTTAAAATTCAATAAAATACACAAATAGTTTTTTGTTCTTTTTTGTTGTAGATTTGAAAAGTTTAATATTTCATATATAGGACACAAAAACATTCTAGTTTGCCGATATGTCTAGTTTAAGATCTGAACAACAAAACAACATATCAATAAACTGGAGTGATTCATAGATCTTATTTTTAAATAGATCCGTTACAAAAAAAGGTCTTGACTTCCTTGATTAATGGAGTTCCCAACCTGATTGAATAATGTTATGGTCTTTGATTTGATCACCTTAAAATCAGCAATTTTCGTAGGAGTTTTATTTTTATTGAATTTGTGAGTGCTCTGAATCCAATTTATATTTTCACGAATTGATATACAATATTGACATGAAGTTAGCACTAATGGATTTTTTGTAAGGTCCATCCATAAAATCAGATGCCAGTGAAAATGTATATTTTTGTAAAACTGCTGAATTTGAGCCCAAGAAAATGTAATATTTTGCAGTACATTGCAAGAGACTATGATATATAGGTTCCTATAGTTTCAAAACTTAATTGTTACTGACTGAAGGGTTTTAACATCCCAGGTCTGTTGTTTGTAAGCCATTAATCTAGGAAATTGCTTTTATGAATTTTTTCAAAACAATGTTTGGAAGTGTGATAAACAGAATCTTGTATCTTGAGAAATGGAAGCTCATTTGTCAAGTGTTTTCAGCATTCCAGCTCAAAGAAATAATAAATCATTGAAATGAAGATTGTAAGTGTAAACTTGGTGTTTATATTAAGGTTTCCAATAAACAGTATTTCGGTGATTGTTTGTAATACTGCATTAATCCAGCAGTTAGTCCAAACTATCTCTACTCTATATCTCAATATCAGGAAAGTAGATGTGGTTAGGCTAAAATTTATCAGACATGGGCTTATCATGGGATAAAGTGGTACACATATGTCATATGATTTTCGGGATAGCTTCAGATTGTTTTTGTTTTAATAAAGTCTCATGTTTTTGAAATTAATGTTTTTATACTCTGTATTCATCAAACATAAGGCCCTCCACTAAAACACATGCTTTCCAGGCAAAAAGGTAAAGACAGAAAGAGAAACCCACAGTCTATTTATACATATAATAGTGATATTTATGGACCGTAGGTCTAGAATTTGTGCCAAATGAGTGATCCTCTACAATATGAGTAAAGTGTACATGTCGAAACCCAAGGACACTACCTCATCAGTGAAGTATGGACTGTGATCTTTTAAGCATCCTGAGAGACAACCTGCCTTATGTTAGAATGATTGAACCACACATCATGGATGTTTCATTATCATTGCAAAGTGTGATGTTCTACTGTCATTTCTTGGACATCAGTTCTTCAGTCCTTGACATGTTCATGCATTTCTTGTTGGTCTTACTATGATTTAAGAGACTAGCTCATCAATTTTTTGAAAAAAGTGTTTTGGATTTGCCTGAAAAATCCTACAAAAGATACAGATCTGTCTACAGCTACATATACTGTGGATCCTGTCAATTATGAAGTCTGTAGCCAAAAATGGTTTAACAATAAAAAAAACAATGAAATTCAGATAGTACAAGAGAATAAGACCAGGTATTCTAGAAAGGTAAGTATCTTCTGCTTCTTGGTCAACCCAAGTAATCCATGTTAGGTTACCAAAAAGAACAATACCAATAGTATTTTTTCCATTGAAATCGGTATATAATGATCTGTAAAACTTGTCTTTAATTTTCATAAACCTGTATCTCTCAAAATCCTGATGTGGACGTCTTGCACAAAAACCATGATATTGGAAAAAGCAATTGAATATTGAATCAACTGCAACATGTAAACACCATAGGTTGAGGATGCAGGGCAGTTATTATCTAGAAATGGAAAATTCATGATAGGGAAATTGAAATTATCAGGTTTATTATACAGGATGGAGCTGTCATTGTTGGCTTTATTGTAGTTAAAAAGTCCGCCTAAAAATAGATAAAATAATAAATTAAGAACCACAATGTTATAAACAAATTTTTTTTATTGATTATTCTAGAAAATGATTGATACAAAAATAATAGTACAGATTCATAATTCTTTGTGATATATACAGCATGTCATGATGGATGAGGAATGTTTCTTAGATAATGGAAAGCTCTCTCACCGAAAAAAGGAGTTTGAATTTGAAGAAATTCACAACAATGATCCAATATTGACCAGCAGTATTGGTTTCATTGTATCACAGTAACATCTTACCTAGGACATCTTCAACAAAGAACATGCATTGTAAAACAGTTATGTACAATTATATCAAACAGAACAATTAGAATAATATATTTCTTTAACAATTATAGACTATGCATATCAAAACTAAATCAACAGATAAAATTCCATCAATACAAAATACTTCTCATACGAGACAAAAATCCCGCGTGATATGTCCCAGTGCTGGATTTTTCTGTCTTGTCCAATATGTCTGGTACCTTTTATACTATATTTAGAACCTAGCGATGTTGTAATGAAAATGACATCGTATTTGTCTTTCTGATGTCATTAAATCATTTGGAAATTAAGCCAGCCAAAGGTTTTGTTAAAATTTGGACAAAATGATATAAAAGTAAAGGAATAACCAGTAGATGGTAGAGATAAATTTATCTCAGGTGTAAACTGACATTCTGTAACGTCTCGATCTTGGCTTCCCCTTGAATTTTATTTTGCTATAGGAAGGTGACCTTTGATCCCGATAAATCACTCTTGAACAAAAACAGGTAACAGATTTGATAAACACAGGTCTACAATTTCAAACAATCAAATCATTCTAGATTATATACTTGAAAACTCTTGGATGTTTTGAATTTTGACCAACATTTATTATATTCCAATAAAAAACTTCTGTTTGCATAATTTCAGAGTTCAAATATCTTTTCTAACATTGAACCAACTAAATCTCCATTTTATAAAAAACTAAGGTTTTCACTTAGAACAGAGCGATCATTTGGAAGCACAGCTGAAATTGATTAATTGGTGTTTTATCAGCTGATTAAGGTAATTAGTGGATGGTCAAACTCACCCATATATATATATATATATATATGTCACACCTAAATTCTTGTATGAGTTTTAGCACTTTTCTGTAAATCAATGTACTAATTGAATATAACAGTAAGCATGGATTGTTATTCAAGGCTTTAAACATTCTGGTATAAATTAGCTCATTTCCAGCTATAAAAGTAAATAAACATCAGCAATGGATGACCTGTAATAATGATATCAACAATGAAATTTTTTTTTTATGAAATAAAAAGCAAATATAACAAATAAAAAATTAATTATCAGGTCTGATTTTATTAGAAAGATGAAAATGTTTAAATATTCAAAGCTATTTGATGTCAAAAAATTATACAATAATAAAAAACAAAAACAAAATACACAAAATTATTGAAAAATTAATTGGTCTTTGCTATAAATTTGGTATTTTATTACCTTTTTATTGATATGAGTTCAGTGATTTTGTTCTTCTGTTAAAGAGTTCCCTTTGGCTTTATAGCTGCATAGTCTGAAGGAATGTACATATATATTGAATATGCCCTTGTCCAGTTGGCATTCATAAGCCTGTGAATGCAAATTGAAAGCAGTTCAATGCTTGACAATTTATTTTCATAATCCATAAATTCCTGTATATTTGTTTCATCAAAATTCAGCACAAACTCTTTAAGTATCAGTTGACCTAATTCTGTATTCAAGGTCAAGGATTTTTGTGGTTGTTCTAATTGATAATTTTTGTTCTATTTATGTATTTCTTGTTATAGTGATGAAAGCTTTTTTTGTATAGAAAAAAGAAATCACTGAACCGGACATTTCTGGAGTATATATGGGAGTATGAGATTAATATGAAAAAGATATATAAAATGACATACTCAGAACTAATAGTTTCCCAAGTATTGCCAGAGTTTAATTAATGACCTATATAATTATATGTAGGTCATTTGACAATGGCTTGATCAGGATATCCTGATGATCTTTGAAATTCTTGATATGAATTACTGTATGGCACTGCCATTAATAAAGTAAAATTTCTATACAAGTGCCGCATGATTACTTTATAAAAGTCAAGGAAGCGCAATGTCAATACAGAAGAAATAGACTAAAATGTAAATAAATCAAATCTTATGTGAATTGTTCAACAAAGTTTGATACAAGTCTCTATGTCAACTTCCACTGAATTAATGTGACATGTTTAGATTCCATGACCTCTGATGTTATGGGTTGAAGGACTCCAAGTGGTCTATAAATAGAGCTTCCTGCATGTTATGTCTTCATATTTATGGATTGACAGCAAAATCTAAGTCTTTTCCTGCAAATACACAATAACCCAAATTCAAAAGAACACATCTCAGTTAAACTTTCATTGACACATATATTTTAAAAAGACTGCACTTAACCAAATGGTGTTATACTTCAAAAATTAACACTTAGTGTTTTGTTTCCTTATGTCCTATTAACAGTCATCATTTAAGGATGTGCCAGGTTTGGGTGAAGGAGGAAAGCCAGAGTTCCTGGACAAAAAAAAAAAGTGACCGGTGGCCGTTATCTGGCGACTTCCCCATCAAGGTCTCAAACGCGTGACCCAGCGGTGAATAAAGACAGACATCTTAACCACTGTGACCTCTAACATTAAGATACATTGTAAACAAGCTAGGCTACTCACCTATTGTTTTTTCGATCCACTTGGTGAAGTGTCCAGGTACGTTTTGGTAAACAGCGGGATAGCCTGGAGTCGAACATCCTGAATACCCATAACTGGTGACTCCTACCAGCTCCCACACACCCTCAGGGTTCTGACATACCAAAGGCCCTCCAGAATCACCCTGAATTAAAAACAAAAGGCTTGTAAAGATTATTCTGTTCTATCTATAACATATTTTATTAGTATTCACTACATCATCAGTAGTATATTTATCCTGTGATGAGCTCAAGTGGGGTCAACACACCAATAACAAGGCATCACACACGATACGAATACCTCCTCGTCTCCGATTTGTATGACATACTAAGAGTAAATAGAAACTTCCACCTGTTTGCAAACATCGCCTTTTGTAAGAGTTTGTGTTTGTACCTTCCGCATTAAATATGTAGGTTACGGTTACTATAGATACAGATAAGTAAAATTGTATACCTCTTGTTTAAAATGCTGCTTAAATGGAAGGGTTGTCTGTGTAAAACTGGACGATAATTTCCATTTTGATGATGTGAATGTCTCTGGTGTAGATATGGTATAATAAACTACCAAAGTGATGGGTAGTTGGATATGCTGCAGGTAAGTGTTTTTTTTTATGGATGACAATGCATTTGGTGTTTTATTTATGTCACAACGATCTTCTGATAATCAAATTACAGTCAGTAGAGGTTTGACATCCAAATTTCAGCCAATTTCTATCAACAGTAAAGTTGGTGTAGTTTTTAACCACCAAAGGTAAAAACTTGGACTTGTATCAAAGGCAATTTGTGTGTGAACATGTGTTAAGTTTGGTAAGAATCGGAAGAACAATGGAGCCTGTAAAGAATGTGAAAATTTTGTCAGTTTATATTTATAGTAACAGTGATCTAGTATTTGACTGCACAATGTTGGAAGTCAAACTGGTATAAGAAGTGATGTTTGTGATCATGTGTGTGGAGTTTTGTACTTATCAGTTTAGAAATGGAGCCTGTAAAAATGACCACATCATGCTAAGATGAAGTCGCTTTATACTTTGTTTTGAGTCAATGTGATCAGTTTACTAAATTATGTTCTCTATGCATAATAAAACAAAAAATATAACAAGAATGGGAAAGCTTAGGGTGTTAGGTAGGACCATGGTAAAGTGAAGCATTGCACTATAGGATGATATCTGGTGATGCATGTAGCCTTCGCCAATAAAAATCACTGAAGTATATGTAAAGGAGTATGAAATTAACATGAACAAGAGGCCCATGAGCCTTAACGGTCATCTGACATAAAATACAAGATTTCAAATTTTGAACTTGAGAAGAAGTGGAAAATGTGTTTTCAAGATGGCGGCCATGTTGGATTTTGGACCAACCCAAAATTAACAAACTTTGGTCACGATCATTTCAGGTAAGTTTCAGCTCAATGAGACATGTAGAACTTGAGAAGAAGTTGAAAATGTTTACGGCAGATGACGTACGACGGATGCCGCCGGACAAAAGGCGATCGCAATAGGTCATCAGACCCTTCAGTCAGATGACTTAAAAATATATATAAAATGATATACTCAGAACAAATAGTTTCCCAAGTATAGTCAGTTTTATGAATGACCTACATAATTATATGTAGGTCATTTGACAATGGCTTGATCAGGATATCCTTATGAACATGTAAAGAGCAGCAACCTCCTGAATCTGCTTTTCCAAATGATTTCTATTGTCACTTGCAACTTCATCGTATATCATAAATGTTGTACTCTGAAAGTGACTTTTCTGCCGCTCAGTCTAAAAATGTTCACAACCAGCTTTAAGCCAATGTTACAGTAGAAAATAATGCTTGGACACCTTGCTTAAGGTGTTACTTCTCTTCTAGTTTAGGTAATTTTCTCTCCTTGATGTCAAGGACTTTGGGCATCTTTAAATATCATCCTGAAACCTTGTTGGTGAACTTACACACCATTTATTGGATGTCAGTGCTTTTGAGTTTATCTTTTGTTTATTATACATAAGTAAATGTCTCACAGGTCCCTTCTTCTACATATCGCCAGGATAAAACAAACATGTTTATCATGTTTATATGTAACATGGCATCACAAATGACAAAATCCCCTCATGGTGTTGTTTTGACTTGCGATGAAGAAGATGGTCAAGTGTCTCATCACATTTTCTACCTTAGTGTACACAGGATTATAGTAAAGCTGAAACTGGACAATTTCTACCACAAGTACACTATGTAGTCATCTGTCGATTTCTACCACAAGTACGCTACGTAGTCATCTGTCGATTTCTACCACAAGTACGCTACGTAGTCATCTGTCGATTTCTACCACAAGTACGCTACGTAGTCATCTGTCGATTTCTACCACAAGTACGCTACGTAGTCATCGGTCGATTTCTACCACAAGTTTACTACGTAGTCATCGGTCGATATCTACCACAAGTACACTACGTAGTCATTGGACGATTTCTACCACAAGTACACTATGTAGTCATCTGTCGATTTCTACCACAAGTACACTACGTAGTCATCTGTCGATTTCTACCACAAGTACACTACGTAGTCATCTGTCGATTTCTACCACAAGTACACTACGTAGTCATCTGTCGATTTCTACCACAAGTACACTACGTAGTCATCTGTCGATTTCTACCACAAGTACACTACGTAGTCATCGGTCGATTTCTACCACAAGTACACTACGTAGTCATGGGTCGATTTCTACCACAAGTACACTATCTAGTCATTGGTCAATTTCTATCACATGTACACTACGTAGTCTTGGGTCGATTTCTACCACAAGTACACTATGTAGTCATCTGTCGATTTCTACCACAAGTACACTACGTAGTCATGGGTCGATTTCTACTACAAGTACACTACGTAGTCATTGGTCAATTACTACCACAAGTACACTACATAGTCATTGGTCAATTACTACCACAAGTACACTACATAGTCATGGGTCGATTTCTACCACAAGTACACTACCTAGTCATTGGTCAATTACTACCACAAGTACACTGAATAGTCTTTGGTCGATTTTCTACCACACGTACACTACGTAGTCATTTGTCAATTTCTACCACGCTACATAGTCAGTGCTACTTTGCTTTACACTAATAAATTTTAATTGAAACTATGAGCTGAAATGTTCTTGTTTCTTTGTATTAAAGCAGGTTTGGTAATATAAGCATGTGAAATTATTGGACAACTTCTAATTTACTATAAATGCTAACACTGGTAATTGAATTAAAGTGACAATGGAATCTCACTCTATGACTTTGTTGGATGTGAGACAAAAACATGACATGATTTTTCTAATTGCCTGGATATCTTATATAAGAGAAAATATACTTACATTGCATGCGGGTGAATTCGGATTCTCGTTATCAACACAAAGGCCAGTTTCTGACCAGCCGTTTGGAAATAATTTGCCAAAGATTTCACTACATTCCTCTGGTGAGTGAATAATGCTAACTGTTGTTCCTTGCAAATGTTGTTTTTCATCTGAAATAAAATGGATATTGATTTATAGAATTTCTAACAACTGTTTCTGCAGAAAAATAAAGCATCCTTTTGGTTGATTGATACCGATTAAATTGTCATCATGCGTATAACACAACATGCAAAAAAATATTTTAAGGGTAGCAAAATCAAGTACCATATCGATAATAATTCTCAAAATTAAATAACATACCACTTAATTCTGCAATTACCTTCCCCACAAAAAGGAACTAGCTACCTATATTGTACACTGTTGATTGGATAGGTAAGTGAATGATAAAGCATAACGTGTCTAATGTCAAAGAAAACAGACAAGAAATGACATTAGGCATTTTTTCCTAGCCCATAATTAAACAGAAAGTCATCAAAAGTCAGTAAATGAAATGAAAAAAAAATTCTGAAGAAAATGCTTTCAAGTGTTGGACTTTGGATGTTGGTCTGACGTGTTTGCTGGACATTCTGATATCAAATTTTTGGCTCCCGGAGATCGATTTTTGACTGAATTTTAGGGTGTGCACATTTTGCAAGTAGAAGCACTTTTTACGATTTTCAGCTCCAAAAAAGTACCTGCAGAGAGGTGTGCACATTACGTGGGTTTTTATGGTATACCATACATTAGTCAGCAATTTGATAGGTATCAGAAGAGTTCAAATTTAAAATCAGTGGAGTAGCATACAGTTCAGGAGTATTGTGGATTAAATTTTCACATGTGCTTATCTAACCTTCACCAGTCACTTTATGACTGAGGTATGTAAACTATAGTAGGCAGATTGTGAGGTAAACATGTTTTGTAGATATTTTGTTTATATTCTGTTTATTTTTTCCAAGATATTTTATTTGATATATTATACATACAAAATAAAAAACTCAAACCTTCATATTTTCCTACTTGCATCATCACTGATTTATATATACATTTACATACCTCCTACTTCATCCAAACCCCATCCACTGATGAAGCATGATCTGTAGAGTTTCACATTGCGGCTTGAAGGAGCCAGACATATTGGACGTATTGTGTCACTGAATGGCACAGATCTTGCTAGTCTCAATAATGCTACGTCTGCATGAATCCAATCGTTTGAAGAAACAGCTTCTGGGGCAGAAATGATTTCCCGAATTTCTGATATAAAACCTTCCTTCTGGAAGTTGTTTAGATCAGTAGCACCTACAGCCAATTGAAAAGAATTGGCATCTCTGTCACTGCAAGATAAAAACACTTCAATGTCACACCTTATGTTATCTTCATCTACTCAAAGAATTCTGTATCATTGTACAGTTTAAAGCTAGATGTGTTAAATGTTTGTTAGTATGCCTGGCAGTTTGGTTGTTGCTAATCTTGTGGATAGTGCAACTACTTAAATGGATCCCTTTGTACTGTGTTGCTCTTGACTTGTATCTTGCCCTTCAACACTGAACCTTTAACAAATCTTCACACAATACAGCGATGTGTTGTGTCTGTCCACATTTCATACTTACTCAATACAGTGATGTGCTGTGACTGCCCACTCATGATCTATTAAAGAAGCTCCACAAAAGTGATCACCATTTAATCGCTGTAGTGACGACATCCATGGTTGACCACCAGGTGGAACATTGAACCCATAGAGGATAAATGTAGCAGGCACTGGCTGTAGGGCTGGCACGCCACATCCTGTAACACAAAAAAACAGTTCTTCCCCATACAAGCCTTTGCAAATTTTTTTTTTTTTTTTTTTTTTTTGGTGCAAACAATTTTTAAAGAAATAAGGAACATGGGGAAGCCTTTTCCATTTTGAATTTCTAATGACTATCTAGGATCTACCTAGAAATTCTTACTGTTATCGAATACAGTATCACTTTCATTCAGGAACAAATTTGAGACACATCAGGACTGTGAAATCTCTTACCTTATTTACTTAGTTTAGAAGGATTCATGATTTTATGTAAAGACATTGGGTCTTCCATCAAAGATAATATCAGTTTTCTTCATTCTTCAGCACAAGAAATTGAGTATCACAATTCTAGGATCATCAAACAGTAGAATAAGATTTTGTTTGAAGAGAAAAAATCTGACATCTCAATTAACATTTCAGACAAGCAAAATATAGACTTATCAAAACCAATGAGAAGCTTTGTAGTATGTGACTTACCTAAAGGTTTACATACGATCTCCAGTATTTGACAGGATCTGTAACCGAATACAATGTGAAGTTGACTATATGTGGTAAGAGAATTGTTGATAAAGAATTTTAACTTAATATGAGATATAGTTTAATAGGTACATATTTATCAGAACCAAAACACTAACATGTAGTTGGAGTAATGTATTTCAATATATTGATTAGAAATGAAAAGAACATCAATATTACATGTGATATATTGAAATAAAGCTGAAAGACTGATCTATGATTACAAAATCTACCTCCTCAACAATAAAGGACTGTAATGTCTGACGACTGATACCTACCTCCCTAACAACACAGGACTGTAATGTCTGATACCTACTTCCCTAACAACACAGGACTGTAATGTCTGATACCTACTTCCCTAACAACACAGGACTGTAATGTCTGACGACTGATACCTACCTCCCTAACAACACAGGACTGTAATGTCTGATACCTACTTCCCTAACAACACAGGACTGTAATGTCTGATACCTACCTCCCTAACAACACAGGACTGTAATGTCTGATACCTACCTCCCTAACAACACAGGACTGTAATGTCTGATACCTACCTCCCTAACAACACAGGACTGTAATGTCTGATACCTACTTCCCTAACAACACAGGACTGTAATGTCTGATACCTACCTCCCTAACAACACAGGACTGTAATGTCTGATACCTACCTCCCTAACAACACAGGACTGTAATGTCTGATACCTACCTCCCTAACAACACAGGACTGTAATGTCTGATACCTACCTCCCTAACAACACAGGAGTGTAATGCCTGATGACACCATTGGTATTAGAAGAGTCGGGCACCAGAGTCAGAGCATCACTTTCTGAATAAGTGTGGGCAGCGTGGCTCTCCAAAATGCTGTTAATGGAGAAGAAATAGAAATGAAGTAAATGATGACTAGAATTATGAGCATCATAGGCTTTAAGTCAACTATTGATGTATGTGTTATTTACTTACTCTTTCAATACTAATTCATGAAAGTTTATTGGCAAAAATTAAACCATTCATAACACGATAAATTAGCTAATTACAACGTTTCACTAACACACAGTCTCACTGCGGTCAAACTGTTTGGCACTTTATCCTTAGTTTTAATTTCCCATGATTAGATGTGTAGAAGATAAGGCCCCGATAACCTTTTTCTTTGATTAAGTGCAAAGGTCAAAATATAGGTCAGTTTAACCTACTTTTGATATGCAACACACCATCTGATCAAGGTAAACCCATATCCCAAGTAAAAATTTTCTGTGATTAGAAGTGTTGACACACAAATGAATAGCACCTTGTAACATATCTATAGAGTTAAATACAGTAGAGGTGGAAAAAATATCGAATTACATCATATAGCCACTTTACCTTCTCTCGTCAGTGATACTGAGAGCCTAACTTTTGAAGGCAACTGAGGAAAATTCAAAGTCATTGCATGAAAAGTAAAAATCTAGATGGGGAGGTAAACCATCCCCACAGTTCAATACATTTCATTATTTTCATATATTTGATAATGCAGGTGTAACCCTGGTAAAATACTAGCCGCAATATACCACTCGGCTAGAGAGAACTTCTCTTTAGCTCGATTGGTTGAGCGTCAGACTAGTAAGCCAGGAGTCCTGGGTTCGATTCCTAGCGGACGCATTCAGATGAAAAATGGCCTATGTCACATTGGCGCCCATGTAGGGACCTGGAAATAGTACTTAGTCATGCCCCACCGGCATCGCGGTAACTCATGGAAACTCATATACCACTCGGCTAGAGAGAACTTCTCTTTAGCTTGATTGGTTGAGCATCAGACTAGTAAGCCAGGGGTCCATGGTGTATATTCTGAACCCTGCCACTACTCAAATGAATTACAAAATGATATGCAAGTTTTAGCAAACATCCGGGATTAAAAGTCCACAAGCAGTGTCTACCAACTGCAATCTTGTTTATTTTACAAATGACACACAAGTGAATAGCACATTTTTTAATACAATTTTAAGAGTTACATACAGAAGAGCTGAAACATATATTTAACTGCGTCATAAAGCTATTTCATAATTCAAAGCTCGTCAGTGGTGAGGATATGGACTGGACAAACTTTTCCTTTGATGAAGGTCAAGGTTAAAATTTAGCTTTGTGTGACCCATTTTTGATATGTAACTCACCGTCTCCTCAAAGTAGACCCATATCCTAAATATTAAAATGGCATGATTTGTAGAGTAGAAGATAAGGGCCACACAAAGTTTTTTCCTCTGATGGAGATCAAAGGTCAAAATGTAGGTTTCTGGTTAGAATGATCTACTTTTGATATGAAGTCTCACCAAATCTGAGAAAGAGCCATCGAATACTGCTATAGAAATAGCGACAAAGTTTAATTTGAAAAATTAAAGATGGCCTTCTGCCTGATCACTCCCAAAACCAAATGGGCACAACTTAAAACCAAGGGGAATTTACAATTGAAATTTGAAAAAGATCCATTTTGAAATTCTCAAGAAATAGTGATAACAAACTTTAATTGTCAAAATCCGAGATGGCCACCTGTTGGCCACTTTGCATATCTGGTCAGCCTCCATATCAAATGGGCATAACCAGCCCAAGGGAAACCTTCATATCAAATTTGAGAAAGAGTACACATTACATAAGTTACACACATTTTTTAACAGTTATAGTATGATAAAAGTGTCCCAATTTGATAAATGAAAAACATGATATCATCGTTAATTTTTCTTAAGGTCAGAATTCTTTTTAAATGTCATGAATGAATGACATTAAAACATGTATACTAACCCCACGCTGGCTACTCCGCACAGGTAAGAAGCAAAATCATCAGTAACATTGTCATAACAAACACTGTGCCAGGATCCCTCTCTGTTCATCTTGATGGTGTTAGTATCGGTATCAGCTCGCACTGGAATATATTACATAGGATTGCTGCCATTGTTCAGAAATTGATAACGAATGTCAGCTGATCACATACACACATAAAAGATAACGAGAGTATCAGTAAAACTAATGAATGCTCCCCAAAAACATTTTTATTGGACACAAAATTTTTAAAAACAGCAATAATTCAAATCTGTAATCAATTGGCCCTGAATTTGATACACTGTGCATCCTCTTAGTACATTAACATTTTGTTATTCCAGTTTAAATAAAAACAAACAAGTTAAAGATATTCTCCAGAGTCTACATTTTAACGAAGGGCAATAAGTTTGTAATTGAGGAACTGCAGGCCCTGAATTTGGTACAGTGCACATCATTTTAGTATGACTAATGTAGACAACAAGTTGCACGATCCTTGCTTAACTGTCAGTATAGTTACGCTTTGAAAAAAAAGATCAACAATTAAAGTGGCAACAACCAGCATATGCTCTCCTTAATTTTGGGAGGAAAATAAATGTATCATATTCATCAAAATTTGCGTAACCACTCTTCAGCCGCTTTTGTGGGCAACAGAATCGTGTGTGCTTACAGTTGTTCACTGAAGTGCTAACAGTGATAGAAGTCAAAATGAGAATTATCTATAGATTTAAAGAAAAATTCTTAAAATCAATATGTTTGATACCATTGAAACAAGCATTTTTACTTAGAAATCAATTACAGATTTGTTTTAGTGTGCAAAACCCTCCATTATGAAATATGTATATTTGGCTCATATAATCTTGCATCTACAGAGTATTAAGTTTTGTCTTTAGGTGATAAAAATATACAACAGCTTTCATTACAATATCATTAACATTTCAAAGTTACAGCCCGGACAAGAAATTATAGAAAAAATTGACCTTGAAGTGACCTTTGTCATTAAGGTCAAGGTCACAATAAACCAATGACAAGGCACTGACTATGCCAGTGGATGATAAAGGTGTACAGCAATTTTCATTCATATATCTTAAGCAGTTTAAAAATTATTACCTGAACAAGAAATTATTGGAAAAATTGACTTATTTGACCTTTGACCTTAAGTCAAAGTCAGGGTGACCTAAAAGGAGTAAACTGCATATGAGTTTTCAGAGATATCTTAAACGATTCAGAAATTTATGTCCTAAACAAAATAAATGATCAGAAGACTGAGAATCATATGAATCAGCAGACCCAGAAGAATGGTAATAATAAAATATAAATGTCCTTCATTACCGCATTGAAACTCGTCCGACCGGTCACCACAATCGTCATTGTCGTCACATCGAAGTGTCATATTGATACATTTATGGTTGTGACACTCAAACTGTGTGGTGCTACAGTTAGCTGAAATATAATAATCATTTTTATATCAATAGGATCCATCAGTATATCAGCTTAAAGTTACTAAATCAAACTGTGTCCAATTGTAATTTGGTGAAATCTATCAACAGGATCTATCAGTATACAGATTTGAGCTAACTTAATGAAACTGTGTAGAGGCCTCGGTTTCATGAATGTTCCTTAACTTAAAGAAATAGAAAAGTGTAACATCAGTTAAGGAAAAACTTAGATTTAAGGAAATTTGATTAACTTATACAATACTTTCCTATTGGAAATTTTAAGTTAAGAAAAATTCCTTAAGTCATTGTAGATTCATGAATCTAGGGAATTCTGCCAGTAAGTCCTCATAATGCTATGTACTCAAAGTGACAGGTCCACATCGGTCACCACCAAATTGATTTGATTTTCTAAAAATAGGCATGGTGATACAAATTAGCGTTAATCATGAGTTTAGGATCCTCAAGCATGAATTGATACAAGGTCACATGGCTGAACTCCGTACATACTTATATAAGATAGGCATTGATG